AAAATAAATAAATAGTATAGAAAATAAATAAATAATTCTCACTCTATAACTTTTTTCATGTAGCTGTTGGTCCTTGATAAAAATTTCATAGGTTTAGGTGCCTTTTAACGACAATAGTATTCAAAAAGTCATGGGTGCACAACAAAACATTTAATTCGAACGGTCGTTTAAACAAATCGGCCGATTATAAAATTCAGTCAAGGTGATATGCCCGATGCTGTGGCGTGGCCTCTAGATCTTGAGAGTTATTCGAATCCAGTCTGACCTTTCTCGTTTTATTAACCACGTCAGCTCAGGTATGCCCCATCATCTCAAGCATATCTTCCCGTCTTGTGAAGATATGGATAGAGGCGCATACCTACGGGGTCCTCCCAGATTCGCTGTATCTAGAAATTATGCAAACTGATCCGTTCCGCACAACCTTAAAGCTTCATTCACACTATCGATCTGCTCTTGGTATTTTCTTCAATATTAGGCAAAATTTTATTCGAATGACGGATAAGATTTCGTCATTATTGAATAAATATGCAATCGAAGTATGTATTTACTTGTTGGTGTAATGTATTCAGATGGGAATATTTATTCGAGCAAGAATTCTCTTTGTTATGTTTATCTAACATTAGAACGATTGAAGCATATAATTGATAAAACAGCTTCGATTCTTGTTAAAAAATCCTTCTAAAATTTAAAATCACAAACTTGTTAATAAAAATTATGAAATAATATATTCCTTAAAGTACTATTTTGTAATATCAGAGGTACATAAATTAGAAAAATTTTAATTTCTTTTAGAAATTTAGGAAAGTTATTTTCCTAAAATAAATCAATTTAAATAAACATTATTTACTGACAAAGATTAAGAAACAATATATTCATTAAAGATATATTGTCTATTTTTTGATTTCAAAGATACATAATTTAGTAATAAAAATTTAATAATCATTCGAAACAGCCGACCTGATTGATTTCAATGATCTTGAAAATCATCATTCTCAACAACTTTTTCCTATATATACCTCTGCTCAATTTTAATTTTCGAGATATTTATAAAAATATATTTTACACTACTTATAAATATATTTCGTATTATTAAATAAATATATTTCATACTTTCAAGGATAAACTTTATTATTAAAAATATGATTTTAATCATTTTTTAATTTACAATATTATATTCAAGAATATACACTTTAATAGATAATATTTCTGTTTAGCTGACAATTTTTCTCATTGACAATCATTTATTTTTTTGATTCCAATATAATGGTAGTTCTAGCTTAAATCAGTATTTCCGCATTCATATTTTAAAAAATGATCGAGTCTTTTTAAATAAGTGTATCGATGTTGATTTGGAGTAGATATATCACCGGCTTCATTTTGTCATAAATCAAAAATGATTCTTAATGAATGAATTTAGTTAAAGTCTACATATACTATAGTTTTTAATTTGGATGTATTTGGTGAGAAATATTATAACTAATATATATTCTTCTTGTTACGGAATTCGAAAATAACATCAGATCGAATACATTGCAGAATTTTTAATTCATTGACGACATAATTTTAACAATCGAATAACTGCATTTTTTCTACATGATGACGAAGACATTTTCAAGCATTAATAATAAAATATATAGTATTAATAATAAAATTTAAGCAAATATAACTTAAGATTAAATCGAATTTCATTTAAATGTAACACATACCTTTGAATGTTCACGCATTCACTATTTCTTATATTAATTATATTAGTTATTATATTATTACTGTTAATAATATAATAACTAATTATATTAGTTATTATATTATTTACTATTATATTGTATTATGTTTTTATTTATTATATTATTAGTATGTACATCATATTATCAGTTCAATTTAAAAATTATATTATTCAAATTTTACTAAATTTTGTATAATATTAATTACATTTATATAAAATATATTATTTAAAAGTAAGAAATTATGTTATCCTATTTATATATTCATATCATGAAAACTACACATTTATATATGTTATTTAATTTTTATCTAAGTATTGAAACTATTAATAAAACATACATTAAAGTTTTTTTAAACTGTTATCAAACTCTGTTTCTTTAAAAATCAGCCATCAAACAATAACTTTCTTTTGCATTTTTAATTTCATTTTTCACTTACATAGAGAAATTTTCATCACTTTAATTTGTAAATGTCACTCCATTTTTACTGTAATATGTAACATAATTCTTTTGCATGTATAATATTTAAGAACATAATTACTGCAGTTATAATACTACCACTTACACTAGTAGTAATTATAGATGGTTTATGTATTTGTAAAAATAAATAAGAAGATAGAAAATTAAAGATAGAAAATTGTTTTACTTTATGTAAGTTTATTATAGATAAAAAATTATTCTATTTTAATATCATATTTGGTATAGTAGTACATGCATTTTATGTAATTTTACAGCTCCAAATTTCCCATAAATGCATAAAAGTCCGCATAAAAATCTAAGATAAAGTAAAAATAAGAAGCTCAAATTATTGGACATTTCACTGAAATGTATATATTCAAGTTTACAACTTATTCATAACCTATAAATAAATCTTTTTGTGCACAAAATATGATATCTTGTTCGTTTCTTGATATTACATTGTATGATGCGCATTACTTCAACTACATATACATAACGTACAAATCATTTAGGTGTGGTCCCGCTTAAAAGTTGCACAAGCTGTAGACTGCAAAACATTAAGAGCAGCTATATAACACAAATAATATCTTCAACATTGATTTTCAATATTTTAATATTAACAAATTAAATTAATATAAAATATACAACAATAATTAAACTAATGTATAATTATATTAATATAATACTAATTCAATATTCTTGTAAGTTATTAATCATGACAAAATGAATGTATATCACATATAATAAATACTATAAGATATAATATAATACAGAATTATGAATTTATTGCATAAGTATACATTTATATAGTCGCATCAAAAAATTTGTGATTACGTGTATACATATTATGTCACATAATGAATAAATTATAAAACATTATAACCACAAACACAAAATGTTAATTCTTTAATATATCTTTTATTTTTTCTTATTTTTTTATCATTTATTTCCAAGTAAGTAATTTTGTATTCTAAAAGGACTTTTTAGAAACCTAGAAAAATCTGAAACTTAGAAAAAAATTTGCTAGAAAGCAAGATTATAATGTATATATAATCTAGATCTTGAAATGACCTTTTGTAAGAACCTTTCTTGAATCTATTATAATAACCAGTATTGAGATAGCGATACAAAATGTAGAATTTACAATAAAACAATGTTTTACTACATTACATTTGTATTCTTCGATACTCTTCGATTCCTACTAAATATTAATTCTGTAATATAATGTTTATAATTAACAATAATAAATAGATTGAATTTTTTATTGGAAATTTCAAGATACAAAAATGCACAGAATGTTCATGTAAAAAAATTCTAAATATAATATTTCTTGTAATAAGTAAAATAATTTTCTGTCCAAGTCCTAATTTTCATAATTATCACTATAAAAATATAAAATTGCATAAAAATCTTTAATAGATTAAAGATTTTTATTACTGATAATAGATTAATATACTAAATTAATAATAATAATTAATAAATAATAGTAATAATGATTGAACAATATAATTAATAGTAATAAATTGATAGTAACAAATAAATAATTATAAAAATAAATTTATAATTACTTACGAATTTATTTTATGATAACCCAATTATAATATAGTTTTATAAAATGAAATGAATTATATCTTCTACAATTAAAATGCAGCTTAATATGTGAAGTAATAAAATATTATAGAACTATATAAATCTACTCACATAAATTACAAATTTTCAATAAAACTGACAAATTGTGTAAGACTGCAATAAAAATATCAGATTGCGTACAATATACCCTAAGTATATTTCATGTAAAAATTATTGGAAATAATAACTGAAATACTTTTACATATTGAAATAAGATAGTATTTAAAAAGTTATTTTATTTGGCAGTAGTACACACAAATACAAATATTGGAAATATTTATTTAAAACATAATTAGATATTGTTCGAGAAGTATTAAAAATTATTTGTAATAATACCTATCATGCTACTAAACTTACATCGATCATTTTAAATATTATTTTTCATAATTATCATTTCAAAAGGAAAAAACTGTAAAAAGAAATAAAAATTTATATGTTTTCATTATTTGCCTACAACAATATATAAATTTCAAACAAAAAACCAGGTATTTTTATAATTACATAGTTTACAAATTTCAAACTAAAAACCAGGTATTTTTATAATTACATAATTTACAAACTTTAAACAAAAAACCAGGTATTTTTATAATTACATAGTTTACAAATTTCAAACAAAAAACCAGGTAATTACATAGTTTCAGTATGGTTTTATAATTAGTCCTACGAATTTGAACAATCTCTTTCAAACTGGGGCTGACGAAGAAATTAGTGTATTAAATTTAAAATAATCTCCGCTCACTATCATATTTGTTGTTAAAAACGTATCCTTTCGAATATCATAAAAATTCCATAAAATATCAACGACAGAAATATTTATTTTAAGTTCATCCTAATAAATACACAATCGAACACATTCGTAAAATCAAATAAATATCTCGATCAATATGATAATCAATATCCTGTAAGTGTTTTTATTTTTGAAACATATGCAAACAATCTCTGGGAATATTTTTATTTTTTATCTCTCTTTCAAATACTGAATATCATATAACGGTTTCGACTATCAACTACATAATTACTTGTACATATCTAAATAAAGCAGACGACAAATGAATTGCTACCGATTGATGTTTATTGCTGAAAGATTTGCGTGAAGAAAGATTAATTCAAACGTACAAGATGTTCGAGAACATATCTGAGGTGGGGCAAAATTGTGAGGGCGAGAAGCTATGAGGAGAATGGTTGGACATATAAACAGAGGCAATGGGAAGGGAAAATCTTCTTGAGCGTCTTCATATAAATGCTGGCAGTACATGTACACGATACTGTTGATTCGGTCTTGTTCAAACCGACATCACATAGCGACCATCATCATGCAGCACGTAGTGAGTGATTGTTATACACATATATCGATATTACAAGTGATACAAAATCAAAGTGAACAAGATTTTCAAATGATAATATTCCAGAGTCATAATATAAATCAGTTCACAAGTATACATGTATAAACTAGTCTACAAATTTCATTTTTCACAAAGATTTATAATTTTTAATAAAACGTTAATCCTACACATTATTCTGATACTACGTTATTCCACACATTAAATATTTAGTTATTTATAACTATAATCTAATTATTTCAGGGATACTTTGAGAGATTTCTTTTTTCTAAGAGAAATTTCCTTTTATATTAATTATTCAGAAATATACATTTTCCTTTCTAAATTTTTCATGAATTTACAATCAATTACACATATTGATGTTAAATTTGTCTTGAATTGTAAATTGTAAAAAAATAATACAAATTTCAACGATATAACAATATTCTAGAGATCTCTGTAATGTATTTGTATGAATCTATTTTTAACAACATGTGCAGTTAAACAGTATTTGCATAATAAAACGCTACGATGGAAGTTTGTACATAGTTGAAAAAATTAATATCAAAATTCTATTATTTGATTGCAGTTATTGGTGTTTGCATTATTCGGCTGCGTTTTAGGACAATACGGTGCATTTCGCGGTTTCCCAAGTCAAAATGCTTATCGACCGACGCCTAGGCCAACCTATCAACCAACAATACAACCGCAATATACACCTCAGTATAAGTATGCATTTACACATATCATATTATTAGATAGCGAATTTTTATCAAAATTTATATTTTTATGAGAATAATGTAGAATTCACTTATTAAATATTGTAATATGTATTATAATTTTGATACTTTATATATTATACTTTATCTACGAATTTTTTTGTTTCCAAATTTTTTAAAAATGCGTAAAAATTCATATTGATTAATGATGACTAGATAGCGTGTATTTTTATGCATTTTTAAATTGTTACGGATAGTCAGCGGATTTTTATGCAAATTCACATTTTTGTGAAGATAACTGAAAAGGTAGATACAGGTTTATTTTATCTGTAAAATATCATTAAAAATAATATATTTTAGATCTTTTATATTATTATATTTTCGACTTAGATCTGATTATAAATATAAATCAAATTTGTTTTATCTATTAAGTTCTACAATAATACTTTAGATATTTTATATATTTTTGCATATTACATTTTTCCACCTTTCAGTCATAAATGAATTAAAAATTTTATTTTTGACAAATTTATTAATATTGTTTCGCATTTCAATTTATATTGATTTCATAATGACCTGGAATATTTAATAAATAAATAATAAATAATAATATATAAATAGTTATCTATTTGTAGCAATTAAAAACGTCAAATCGTAGCTAAATTAAATTTAAATTAATAAAATGTCTATTCTTTCTGTAATAGTCCTGGAAGGTTCATAGCCATACGTAATCAACAAAAAGATACCTATCCAGATGGAACTTATACATTTAGCTACGATACTGAAAATGGGATTTCAGTTGCCGAAAGTGGACGACCTCAAGGTACTCCGCAGGGACAGAGCGAGGTGAGATTATTATAACATGAATAATAATTAATTTTAACTTTAATTACTAATTATTAATATTATAATATTATATATGATAATATAATAATAATTGATACAACATGATGATTGATATTAATGTAATTAAATGTAATAATTAAATATACTGATTTTTGTTTATAATAATATTAATAAATATAAAAGTACAAGTATTAATATTTTTTAATAAATAATTATCTTGTATAAAATAAATTAATTACTTTAAAAGATTTTTAACTTATCCTTACTTTAAATTTTACTCTTATATTATCTAAATTTTTGTTATGATTATGCTGCAAATTTCCAATATATATACATTATACACATTATCAATTATCACATAAAATCATATATCACAACATGTAACTGATAATTAGATTGCGAATATTTATACAAAATTCTATTTTTATGAATGTAATTAAAGAAACAGAAAAAAGATGGAATATATTTGTACTTATGAAATATTATAATATATATTATAATTCAGGTATTTTATATATTACATTATAACTTTATTATACTATATTATATTATTTATTATATTATAACTTATTAATTTATATACTATGTAATGCATATTATATTTTGTATATTTTTATAACTTTAAATTTTGTATAAATGCATCAAAATTCGCAGTCTACAACCATCGATGTAGAGCATGATTCTATTTCCAAAAATGAATCAAAAGAAAAAAGAATAAAATTTTCTTATTAAAACTTTTTGAGGAAATCGAGTTTATAAACTTATTAAGTATACTTAAATTTGATTAGTTCTGAATTAGATAGAAGTTAATAATAAGAAGGTTGTTCTATTTGCGAAAATAAAAAATACGGAATTTAGAATTTATTAGAAAATATAGAATTTTCCTCCTTTAAAGCCTCGTCCTCAAGTAAATACTTTGAAAATTTTTTCGAAAACAAAAAACTTCCTTTTTACACTTTTGACTTATTTTAACAGGTATAATTAACCAGAATTAACTAAATTATTTTAAATATACTTTAATATTTGTATACTTAAATATTTTATATCTCATAATTTAATTTTATAAATATTTTCTATTTTATAATTCATTTGACTTTATAAATATTTTCTATTTTATAATTTATTTAATTTTATTTATTTAATACTCAATAATTTCATATTTATCATTGGAGGTTGTCCAAGGAAGATATTCATACACTGCACCGGATGGAACTCCTATCACTCTGGAGTACACAGCGGATGAGAACGGTTTCCATGCACAAGGTGCACATTTACCAACTCCCCCTCCCATTCCAGAAGCAATCAGACGAGCTCTTGCTGCTAATCCACCTGGACCCGATAATTCGGATTATAGACAACCATATAATCCGAATCTTTACCGAAGATATTAAACACTAACTAACCAAATGATTCTTATAAAAATTTCTAAGCTTGTATTTAATCTTTATTGCCCTACGATCCGATCAAATGTACATATATATATACATAACAAAAGTACCAAAATTTGAAACTATATAATAGTCATTATACGATAGATAAATAAACCTTTTTATCCTCTCTCACTATATTTCGTGTCCTTCTTTATCTCTTTCCTCTGTTAGATGTATTTCTTTGGTATAATCATAGGAGACTATAAACTATATCTAAAGCAATCATACAGTTGTTTATATAATAATAGTAAACTATATTATTTTACAAACATTTTAATATTCAATCACAGCCATAAAATATCTGCCAATAAGTAATAATTTTTGCACTTAGTAGCATACAATTTTGTTGGTTAATACAACATTCGAATATTAATAGTAATTTCAAAAATAATAATTCAAATAAAAGGGGTTTTAATATACTTCTTATGAACTATATAATATAATACAATAGATGAATAAATCATTTTTATCTTCTCTTACTTCATTTTAGTGTTCTTTGTCAGATTTTTCATTATATATCGCTATTATATTATTGAGTTCCTTAATTTTGTTTACTACTCGAATCATATTTAAAGCAATGTTATTTATGTAATAAGTTTATGTAATCTCGATAGAAATTGCATAATCATCGGCGTACCTGGAGTATCTTTAAATGCGATTATCGTAATAACCTGTAGAAACAAGTGATCTTTCTGAAGGGATAACTCGTTCTTCATTCATGCTGCATTTTTAATTTATTATAATCGAGAAAATTCGAGAATGTGTTCACTAACTAAACATCATTAAATATATTTGTCTTATACAGCTGAAATGATGTATTTGGATTAATGTAACAAATGATATAATATATATAATCTAATAAAAAATAAAAAATAAAATATAATTAGAATTCAGTTATCAAGATTTTTCATAATTATTTTAATTAATGATACAAAATTATATGAAATATAATAATTTAATGAATGATAAAATATAATCAGAATTGAAATTATCAAGATTATTACAATTATTTGAATTAATTATACAAATAATATAATTTAATGAATAGCAAAATATAATTAGACTTAAGGTTACGAAAATTATTAGATTACTTGAATCAATGAACAAATAAGATATAGAATATAATAAAGTAATGAATAGTTAAATATAAAATATAATTAGAATTCAAATTATGAATTAATTAAAAGTGTACAATAAAAGTGAAAGAAAAGAAAAGTTGTATTGTATAATATATAGAGATAGACATTTAGTAATATATAGAATATTTTAAAAAAAAGAATGTTAACGAAAAAATATAAATTATCTTATAAATTATAAATTAAAGTATTTTTAATATTTATCTATATACTGACTAACTACAGATTACCACATGCTTGTGTTTTTTGAAAAGACAACTTAAACTTAGAAAAAGAATCTTTCCAATTTCTATACAATAAATAAATAATAAAAATAGATACAATAAATAAATTATACATAATTACTTACTACTTAACAAAAAGCAATTTCTTAATTTAATATCCATAAAAAAATTTTTTTTAATTTAAATTTAAGAATCAAAACAATTTCTTTTTAAATAGATATTAAATAAGAATCCGTTTTTTAAAAAGATAATTTTGTCAAGTAGTAAGCATATATTTTTCAAATTTAAATTTAAAAATTATGATTTATTCCTAAATTAATAATATCTATATTAAATTTAAGTTAGTTTTAGAATAAACATTCTATTTTTAATTTGAATTCAAGAGTTAAAAAAAACTTCTTTTTAAATAGACATTAAATTAAAAATTTGTTTTTGACAAAACGATTTTCTTAAATACTGTATATTTTTGTAAATTTGAATTTAAATTTAATAAATCTAATATCTATTAAATTAAAGAAGATCTAAATTGAGAAAGTCAACAAATCAATCTTTTCACATATACATATTAAGCAATTTATGAGCTTAATACTACTGAATATCAAACTGTATACATGCAATAATTCACAATGAAATACAGAATGGTTCATAACCTGTGAACTCGTATCCCAATAGTGCGGGAAAGCATGCTAGTTGAACTTCAATTGCAAAAGCATGCTAGTTGAACGAGAATTGCAATAAAAGAAGAGGGCTGGGATGAATACAGGTGAAAGTGTTCTATCGGATCTTTCATTATCTTACATTTTTCTACAGATCATCCCGGTCAAGGACTGTCTAACACGAACGATGCAACTTGGGCGGTTCCTGCACTTCCTTTGAAATGTTCATTCACCTGTACAAGTAACAATCTTGTGTGAGGCGTAAGTTCGTACTAAAAGCGTGTCGGCCTAATTTATCTCAACACATCAGATATCTTTTTCTGTCAAATAAAAGAAAAATACTATTTTTCGTACAAAATACTAACACTGCACAATCATACTTTTTTACCAATAAAAATTGTGGACATTTTATTAAAATAAAGAATACATTGTTATTCAATGTACATTGTTATTCAAGTTTGTTTTCCAACATATATTAAACATAAAATTTAATTGAAAAAAATTGTAGTATGAAATATTTTATACATATAGTATGAATTATTAGTTTAAAATAGTTTAATTATATAGATTATAATTAAATTATATAATAGATTATATTTATCAATATAATATACATTATTTATAATATATAAATATATTAAATGACAGGAAGAGAAAGATTATATGAATACAGACAAATATTATCATTAAAAAATATTAAATTGACAATAACTATTTATAAATCTTGAAATTTATAATTATAATTGTAATTATATAATTGCAAATTTTAAAAAATATTTATCAATACACACATATATGTATTCAAATTATTTAATATGTTTAGAAGTGCAGAATATTTGAAATTTTAGTTCGTTCAAGATAAATGAAAAATTGTATAATTTCCCCTCTACGCGTTCATAATTTACAAAAAAAAAACTATATCAAATTATCACTTATTTTTTATCTGAACCAATTTTTATATAACACGAATGGTTTATCAATAATTCGCAGTCGTAGATTAAAATTACACATCTTATATACTTATGTAAGTATTTAATATGAATAATTAGTTATGAATAATTAGTCAATATGTATTAAGATAATAAATATATAAAAGAAAGAATGTAAAAGAACAACGGAGGATGATTCGAGTTGTTATATCATAAATAGCATATAAGCAATACTTCGAACTTTCATAGAGAATAGGAAACTATATCAATTAGTCTAACTATAAAAGTACAACTTCTTATTTAAAAAAAAAATTTCAATTGAACTTTTCTTCCAATTACTATTTTAAAAGTGCAGCTTTTTTTGTGCATATATTTTTAATATTCAAAATTACTGATTGAATTTAATGTATGATATAAACTGAAAGATGATTCTGCATGCAAAAATGAGTCGAAAGGTAAGAATAAAACTTTTTCACTTAAGGCTTAATTTTCGAAAAAATCAAATTTGAAGATGAAGATAACAATACTTGGTTTTTGTCCTGGTGGACACCTTGTATATGTAATAGTATAATTTTGTAAAAATTATTTGTTTTACATTTGTCTTGTCTTATAATTTTTATTATATAATTTATATAATTATACGTGTATAATATACATAATATTTATATAATTTATATAATTATATGTGTAAGTTATATCCCATATTACATTTTATTTTACACATTGTAATAGTTATTTTAATCTATAGTCAATATCAATTTTATTATTTTACTTTATTTATATTAATTAAGTTTCCAAAATATACATAATTAAATTAACAATTAAATTAACTAAAAAAATTTAATGCATATGTGAAACTGAAAATTTATATTCACAATGAAATGTGATTTAAATATTTAGAAATGTAGTAACATTAATCATCAATATTAATTGACACTATTATAACCACCTATTAATAATTTTAAATCGAATTATGCTATTATAAAAAATTTTAATTTTTTTACTAATAATTACTGTTACTATTATTATTATCATAGATTAAATTACAAAAGAAATTATAACTGTTGATTAAATTAGTCAATGTTATAAGAAATATTGATTTTAGTTTATCACGTAATGAATTTTAATAAAAGAATTGTAAATATTACTACGAGTTTTAATAAAATATATTTTGTTCTTTCAAGCTAAACTTCTCGCTGCAGCAAACAATTTCTTTTTATAAATAAAAATATTGTCTATTGAGAAATATAATACTGTTACATATCATTTATTACTATATATATATATATATATTACGGATATTAGTATAAAATAATGGAAATATGAAAACTAATTTCATATATTATAAATAAATGTAATATAATTTATGCTATTTAAATACTTACGCATATATCAGATTATGTATTTCAACAAACAGTAGTTCACAATTAACAACATAGAGGTCAGCGAATGAAGTTGCATTTTTGCTAAGAACGGACCTAACCTCCAATTTAGTTTCCGTCAATTTTTTCATTCATTGAACGGAGTACGATTACTTTTTAACATTTAGAAAAATTTAACAAATATAAAGATGCCTGATCATTTGGGAGAAGATATGCGAAAAGTAAAAAGTGAGGAGGGAAAGGAAGAAAAGGAAATAAAATGTGAGTTTTAAATCATTTATTTGTCTAATTGTTATGATTCAATAAAATTTATTATTAATATATTATTTCAGCTCTCGATGAAGGAGACATTGCTCTACTTAAAACCTATGTAAGCAAAATATTGTATAATAATCATAGGATAGGAAAGAAAACAATTTTTTATTTATAATAAATTAAAGTTAAAATAAAGACTCTTGGTATTATTCTGTTTAATTAGTCTGTCGTTGTTAAAGTAAACATGTTATTTTTCTGTATAGGGACAAGGACAATATACAAAAAGTATTAAAACTGTTGAAGAAGATATACAAACAATAATTAAACGTGTTAATGAATTAACTGGAATCAAAGAATCTGATACAGGACTTGCACCACCTGCCCTATGGGATTTAGCTGCAGATAAACAAACTTTACAAAATGAACAACCGTTACAAGTTGCACGGTGCACTAAAATAATCAATGCAAATTCTGATGATCCTAAATATATTATAAATGTAAAACAATTTGCGAAGTTTGTAGTTGATTTAGCAGATTCCGTTGCTCCTACTGACATTGAAGAAGGAATGCGAGTAGGAGTGGATCGTAATAAATATCAAATTCATATTCCACTTCCACCAAAAATTGATCCAACTGTAACAATGATGCAAGTTGAAGAGAAACCTGATGTCACATACAGTGATGTTGGTGGTTGTAAAGAACAAATTGAAAAACTGAGAGAAGTAGTTGAGACACCTTTATTACATGTTAGTATTTCATAATTATTAAATTGTTTTATGTAAAATAATAATAATTGCAAAAAATATGATTATTTATTACAGCCAGAAAAATTTGTTAATCTGGGAATTGAACCACCTAAAGGAGTGTTACTATTTGGTCCACCAGGTACAGGCAAAACTTTATGTGCTAGAGCTGTAGCTAATAGAACCGATGCTTGTTTTATTCGTGTTATTGGTTCTGAATTGGTTCAAAAGTATGTTGGTGAGGTAAGTGTAATATGTTCTCACTGAGAGTTAAAAAAAGCTTAACAAAAAAAATATACAGATACAAGTAAATAAGTAAAGAATGTAAATTTACAAACTAGTAATTTTTAAAATATTTTTTCCTGTCTATAAAAGTCTTAATATTTCTAGAACATTTATAAATGATGGATGAATAAATTTTTAATATTTAAAATTTTATTAATTCTTAAAAACAGTTTTGAAAGCATCATTTAAAACATGTTTTCATACATAAATTTAAAATCTCTAACAAAATTTGGTGTATAGTTTTAATACTTTTTAATACTATTATACTTTTTAATAAGTTTTTTAAGCAAGTAAATTCTAAGAAAATTAAATTTAGAAATTTATATATCTTCAACTTACACTACAAATACTAATAATTTTATAGATAATTATATGAAAATATTGATTTGAATAAAATTGAATAAAAAGTCAAAAAATATAAAAACTATTTCATATTTCCAATTATTAATTGTACTTCTATCATTGTTTTCAAAAATAAATGAATCCGAATTGAAATAATATAGAAATTGATTCAATGTTCATTTCACATATTCAGTAAAATTTGTTAATTTTTAAAAAATAAAAATTGATGTTATTAAAGTCTGATAAAAACTATTATAATAAATTTGTAAAAAATATATATATATTTTCCTTAGTTAGAATTAAAGTCTATAAAAAGTACAGTGAATAATAAAGATCATACTACATTTCTCATGTATAATTTACCAGGGTGCTCGTATGGTAAGAGAATTGTTTGAAATGGCACGTAGTAAAAAGGCATGTTTGATATTCTTCGATGAAATTGATGCAATTGGTGGAGCTCGATTTGATGATGGAGCTGGCGGTGACAATGAAGTACAACGTACTATGCTAGAACTGATTAATCAATTAGATGGGTAAAAATATGTTTTATTTTATACATTGTAGATACATTATTATCATTAAATATCTCTAATGACTAATAACATAAGTAACCATAACTATTTTAAATATTTTAGCTTTGATCCACGAGGTAACATTAAAGTATTAATGGCAACAAATAGACCAGATACACTAGATCCAGCATTAATGCGACCAGGACGTTTAGATAGAAAAGTAGAATTTGGATTACCAGATTTAGAAGGACGAACACATATTTTTAAAATTCATGCACGTTCAATGAGTGTTGAAAGAGATATCAGATTTGAACTTCTCGCGCGTTTATGTCCTAACAGTACTGGAGCTGAAATTCGGTCTGTTTGTACAGAAGCTGGTATGTTTGCGATTCGTGCGCGTCGCAAGGTAGCTACTGAAAAAGACTTTTTGGAAGCTGTAAACAAAGTGATTAAATCTTACGCTAAATTCTCTGCAACTCCCAAATATATGACTTATAATTAATTTTATGATGTACATTATTCTTGTTTGTTCTGAATTATATGAATATTACAATATTATTGATTATAATATCTAAATTAATTCTCAATTAAAATAAACAATAAATTGCAATTTATTTTTTACTTAACCATATTTTCGTTGCTTTCTTATTTGAAATAATATTTTCCAGCTTACATTATATTATTCTTTTCAAATCAAGTAGAATTAGTTTTTGAAATTTCATGAAAATTGAACTTTAATGGGGCATCTGGTTTATTGATTAACAAAGACATAATTCCAAGTTCACCTCCATACCAAGAAATTTTAAGCCGTTGACATATCTGCACAAAATAAGGAAGAGTTATGTCACTTTAATAAAATATAATTACATGTACTTTAATTGTATCAAAAGAAGAGTTAAAAAAAATTTAAGAGAAATGGCTCTGATTCTTCAAAACGTTTTAGTTATTTATCAACACAGAAAGAAATATCAATGAGAGAAAATTTATAACTAAATAATATAGACAAGTTGTATGGTATTTCAAAATTGTTAAAAATATTATATAATATTATGTAATAAATACTATTTATTAAATACCACTGGAATCTTTTTCATAATGAAATTTTGCTCGATTTAAGGAATTAACAAAAGAAAGAAAATATAATTATCTATGATTAATGATAAATTGTGAGAATGCCAGTCACAAGGTAATACTGCCTATGTAATTAAAATAAGAAAAAATTATAAATAAGACATAGAACTTGAATATATTAAAAACTACAGATCATTTTTTGTGCAAGTATCAGTCGTTTCTGAAACTAATGGAAAACTTACCCTTAACAACAATACTTGCATATTTTGCTCTGCAAAACGCCTAGCAATACAAGATCTAGGGCCATGACCAAAAGGTAACCATATATATGGATGTATTGATTTTTCATTTACTTTGTTGGCATTTCTTGAATGTTCACGTAACCATCTTTCTGGCATAAACAAGTCGGGTTCATTAAAGTATTCAGGAAGACGACAAATAATTTGATTTTGTGTTACAACAACAGTCTAAAGAAATGAATAAAAAAAATATATATCAAGAATTCAAATTAAAATGTATTTTTTAATCATTAATGTATTTTTATCAAAATATTAGTAAAAGTATTAATAAAATAAAAATATTAACTAAAAAATGAATTCTATTGGAGCTTATAGAATTGTATTGAATAATTTGTATTCTTTTAAGTTATACAACTTACCCCTTTAGGTACTTGATAACCATTAAGAATAGTATCAGTTTGCAATATACGACCTATTCCTACAGAAATAGGATTTAGTCGTAAGCTTTCTTTAATAACAGCTTTGGTATATGAAGCACTTCTTAACACATCTGCTGTTATTGGTTCATGATTAGTTAAAAACTGTGTGGCTTCAATTCTCAATTTTTCTTGTACATCTTCATGTCTTGCTAGATGATACAAAGCAAAAGCTGTGCTATAGCTTGTCTAAAACATTTATGCATGCCTATAATTATTAGCCTATTATTATTGACCTATAGTAATATTAATAAAACAATATGAAATTCAATAGTACAAAATCATATTTTAATGAAGTAATGAAAAAAATAAAAATGATAAAATAGAGTAGAATAAAATATATGCTATTTATATTTTTTATATAATAAATATGCATAAATATGATTATTATATAGCTATATCTATAATCATATGTATTATATTTACAGTATCTATACCAGCAAGTAACATATCACAAGCCATGCCCACAACATCTTTAATGTCCAGAGCAGGGTTTTTTAAATAGGCACTTAAAAATGATTTATGTCCAGTTGTATCTTTGTTTTTTTGCGATACCAATTTTAATGCAACCCTAATAAAATAAACAACAAAATTAAAAAAAGGGAACATTATAAGGAACTAAAAGTAAATTAAAAATAAATTAATTATAATATACAAAATGAAATATTTAAGCCATATTGACATATCTATTTATTTGTGATAAATGTCATTAATTAGTTTCAGTATATAAAACTTTCTGCATTGTTATTATAAGTTATTAATAAGATCAATGATACATTTTTAAAAATTTTCTGCAATGGTAAGTAATTAAAGTAATTAAGATTAAAATTATTGCTTACATTTCCATGTATGCCTGTGCTTCACGTAATTTTCTATATAATGGTGTTTCAAAGAAACGCCATAATTGCAATCCATTGTCCAATTTTAAAATTACACTATTCGTTGTAAAAGCTGCTTTGATTAACTTGGAACTTGTAGAATTTTCACATCTTTCTTCTTTTGAGAAACTATTCAATCTTACATTAAAAACAACCAAACATGTTACTGAAATTAAATATTAAAACAATTATTATTATTAAGAATAAATGTTTTTATCTATTAAGAAATGATATCAATTATTAAATTTGAAAATCACAAAAATTTAAATTTGCAAATAATACAAATTACAAAAAATACTCCATTTTTATACAATAAGAGATATATCACATTACATTCAAGAAATAAGCGTGATAAAAGAGGTAATAAGTCTTCAAATCTTTCATTAGTACATAAGTCAATAAATTCCTGGATGACCTCGTCTGTTTCTTTTAAATAATTAATCACATCTTGAGGTTTACTAGTAACTTTTTGAAACTCTTTTCGCAATCTCCACCATTCTGGTCCATTTCTGAAATTTTAATGCTATATTTGATTAATTTACTTCATTATATACTAATATTGTTAATACTGTGCCCAATATTTATTTTATATACTATGAACTGTATGTACATATACAAATATTTTTAATAATTAGTTTCTGTACATATAACTATGTATTTTTAATAACACATATACATATGTATAATTTGTATTCTTATTTCTTTTAATTAAACAAATAAAATTTTTCTTTTAATTAATACAAATAAACATAGTAAAATTTGATAAACAATTATTCACAAACAAATTATGCTATATATACAATATTTTAAGATTATTATTATATGTATGTATATAACAAAAATTTTGCAAATCAATATATTATAAATTGTTGTTGCCTTTACATCAAATAGAAAAATATATATCTTACGTTTGTTATTAACTTAGTAATAATTAAATAACATAAATAATTAACAATATAAATTACTATAATAATTTCATTTATGTATTATGTAAAAAATAATAACTATAAAAATAATAAAATGTGCTAATACAATGTAACACGATGTATTGAAAATTATAAAATATATGCATATTACGTGGGTAATAAACCGCCAGTGTTGTATATGTCGGTACGATCTTTTCGATATTTTAAAAGTGCTAAATGACTCCTTCTCTCCGGATATAAACCTGATTCTGCTTTAAAAATCTCTGCTATATCTTCCGGTCTAAAAACCCATACAATATTTACATTGGGTACTATTTCTTCGCGTACCAGTGGACCAAATTGTTTCAGCCTTTTTCTTGCAGTTTCATATAAATTTGTAAAACTGTAATCACCTGTTGAACATTAATAAATATAATTTTAATAAATATGATAACAATATAATCAGGCTGAAAAAATATTTTTATTTCCGAGTATTATAAAAAATACATGAGCTTCATTTACAAAGATTAAATAATAAAAAATAATAGTATGTATAGTATATATACATACAGAGTATCGTGTATACATATGTATATACATATGAAATAAACATGTATTATTCTCTTTTATAATAATGTAATGATAAACATATTAAAGACTTTATTTAAAATACTTTTATTTGTAGTAGTGCTGATATTGGTGTGTTTGACAACCTAATGTATAATATACATACATGTATAATATATTTTAAAGTAACTGCTTTTCTTACCAATAAACGGTAGATACTTGTAAAGTGTTCCAATAATTGGCAAAGATTTTGGTCCAGGAATATCATTAAAGGTTCTTGGTTGACGATTATTCGCTTTAATGTCACATTTTGTAAGAGTATCAGAGTAAAATTTAACATCTAGTTTTTTCGGTGCCACACATTGACTGCACTTTTTCAACCATGTGTACATTGCACTTACACAGAAATGATGAATTAAAATTAAGTATTACGTTCTTTTAATAAGCAATATTTAACAAGAATTCAGGAGTAAAGTAACCACATCGGACTGATTTTAAAGACTATGCCATGTCTGAACCATGCTTGTTCAAGAATGCGTCGGTTCTTTCTTATTTGATCTCTCATTCTATGCTTCATCTTTCCTTGTCCAATGTGTATAGAATTTAAATGAGCTGTGTACGCATAAATTTGATATTTTGGCGATAAAACGTTTCATTGTAGCGAGTTTTATTACCAGCTGAATGTGGTTTGTTTCCAAACACAAGATTATTTCGATTTTTCGTAACTTAACTTATTGTTAAAATGAAAAATTAAATTCAACAATTAGTAATATTTATCAAGTAACGATTATAGATCACATCACATGTAGTAATTATACTAAAACTGATAATATACTATTATACTACATTTATAATTAAATATAATAGGTGAAAATAATAACAATCTATTTTGATACTTAAGTAAAAAATGAAATTTTAAACGAATGCTATGTAAAATAGTTCTTTTTTATTAAATTGAAACACCTATAAAAAACAAGAAGAAACAATTTCTTAAATATGTTTATGTATGAATATGTATATTCGTATGAATATGTATATTATACTAAACAAAATTTCAGGACGATTAGTTTTAATGATGTAACATAAAATTTAGTATAAAATTACCTGCATATCGTTACATGTTACAACGATATATTATAGGTGATTTAAAAATAGTTAATGTTACAATTGTTTTAAAAGTTAGCATATTTTTTTTATTATGTGGATGTTTTATTATTTATAAATATTATTTATAAATTATTATATAATTTAAACTCTACATTATTAAATAATTTTTTTGTTATTTCTTATATTATAATGTTTAATAATATTCTTGTTATTACCTGATACATTAAAAATAATTTTATAACTTATAATTTATTGTTATAATTTCCACGATAATTTTAATTTTATAGTTATGTTTTAATTTTATAATTTTTATAATTTATTTTTAAAAACCTTAAATTCTCTTGTTATTATAAAACGAAAAAAAAAATATTTAAAAGTTTTATAATATTATTTTTAAATAAACGTACAATTTGCGATACTAACTTTTATGCGACTTGAAGTATTTGATGCGTTCCCTGCTATTTTATTCATTATACATCAAATTAAAGATTCATGTAATGAATAAAAGATATGTGTTATTCATGCAGTATCCAAACTTCTATCGATCGCTTTACTCCAGTTTAACATTTTTGTTTTGTATTTAAAATGTTTTCAAGCAATTCGAAATTATACATGAATATATAAAATTATACATTTTATCTATATTGGATATACAAGAAATTATGTATGCATACATATATTTTACAAATTGTAGACAATCGACTGAAGAATAATTTCAGAAGAAACAACAAAATTTTTATATATTATATATACATAGTGTCTGTATTATATATGTATAATTATATATATTAGACATATAATTTTATATATATTCTATATTCATTTGTAAGATTATAGTTAATATACATATACATATACATACATTATATAATGTATATAATTATATGTGTATAATCATGTATGTATATATAATACATTATGCATAAAATATATTTTATATTATATTAATAAACAATTTTTCTCTATTTATTATGTTATATATTACATTATGTTTCAATATATATGTATAAATATTATGTGTGTAATTATTACAAAATTCTTTGTGAAAGAAAATAACAGAAAATACCTATTAATGAGATTATTGCAACATCATTCGTATTGTATGACTTAGCGTCATCGGTGGGAGAATACAACAACAAAAATTGCTCGTTTGCATTGGGCCTTCGACCACGTTCTAACTAGTTACACGTTAACAAAAGTCATTGTCATATGACCTTATTAAAAATAGTTATAGTATATTATATATAAGTATAGTATATTATGTTTTTATAAATGTAGTATATTAATGGATTATATATTTTTATGCATTTATGAGAAATTTGACAGTATGAAATTGCACAGAATAAACATAATTTATAAAACGTATAAAATACCGAGAATACAATATAGTACTTTTTACAATATTTAATAAATAAAGTAATTTCCTATTTAGGTTCCATTCTTTTCATTATCTTTATAAAACTATAAAATTATATAAACATCAAACAATTTACCGTTTCTTTTTAATAATTCTGTCAAATTTTTTACATTTTTTATCCATAGTTATAAAATTTTTGTTGTTTTCGTAAAATTAGTCTTTTTGTGATATATTTCTAACTATCGTGCGTATCATGCGAAAACAAAGTTTCAGTTTAAATAGTAAGATCGATAAATAAGCCGTTCAAAAGAATATAATTAACATTTAAATTTGCATTAGAATTGAGCATTAATTATATCATTTTTTTTAATGAATAAACTTACGAAAATAATTTCTTTCTTTCTTAAAAATTGAATATTAATCTTGCACTTATGTAATGAAATTAAGCAATTAATGGAAAATGGAGTTCATCAGTTTGGTTCATCATTTTTCTCTTGAAAAGTTCTACATGGTCGCGTTTCACACATTACTAATTTCAACACGATCATAGAATGTGTTTTATTTGTTTCTTATCGTGTTCGTTGTACGATAACGATTTTCATTATATTTATTTATTATATTTTTTTATATAATAAAATATATTTATTTTATTATATTTTTTTATATAATAAAATATATTTATTTTATTATATTTTTTTATATAATAAAATATATTTATTTTATTATATTTTTTTATATAATAAAATATATTTATTTTATTATATTTTTTTATATAATAAAATATATTTATTTTATTATATTTTTTTATATAATAAAATATATTTATTTTATTATATTTTTATTATATAATAACGATTTATTATCCAATTAATACAGAAGTTGGATAGAAATTTGTAATCATTTCCGTTCAAATTCGTAATCAGATATTGAATCTAATCATACTCATTAATCAATTAATCGTTGTTAAGACCAATCAATACTCACGAATAACTTTTGTAATTGGCAATCATTAATCAATAATTTTTAAATCATTTAACAATTAATTAATATTTTATTGGGGGTCAGTAATGTATATTGGAATGAGCATGTTCAAAAAATTCTTTATATCACTTTAATTCATCAACTGTCTAAGAAAAACCTGCGAATTCTGATTAAAAAGCGTATAACTCTTCTATAATATATTTTAAATACTTCCACACATGATTAAAAACATAATGAAACGTATTGTGACAGCATAATTTGGAATTTAAACAAATCGTAGCATAATTGAAATGTAAACGTATTATGACAATTTGCAGTATTTTTGAAAAGAAAAGTATCTTCATTTATTCACCGGCTACGTGATATGAAAATATTTTAGAATAAAATGATGTATCTTGAAAGTTGAGGTTTCAAACTTTAGAACGAACCCAGATGTATTGTACGACTTTTTTTTTTTTTTTTTTTTTTTTTACAAAATTATAAGAGTTTCAATGTTTAATGCTCGACTGTTTAAATGTTTAAATATTAATGGGAATCGCTGTAATTATTTAAATAATGCCCGACATTTGGATGTCGCATAGTGAACGAAATCGATATCATCCGACCGACCGACAAACACGACGACAAAGAAGCAGCACATTCTACGGTCGCGTCCAAATTGGCACTGCGTGCGATGCGGCAACGTCGCATTTGTCGGTCGCATGCTTTCAGACGGAGACCAGTTTGTTTTCTGTCGCATCGCACGCACGACGTCTACACAACGACAATGAATAATTTCGCAGAGCTGTTGATCCTCGAGGTGCAGAAGAGGCCCGTTTTATGGAACAAATGCATCCAAAACTCAACAAACCGGTTATTAGTGGATAAGGAATGGGAAAATGTGGCAATGCTATTAAAAAGAGACAGTAAGTCGTTTGAATCTATCAGAACTCCGCGCATATTTCATTTATTTCAGCTAAATTTCAATCAGTAAATAAATTCTTACCTGAACGTGAACTTCCATTGTACAGGATGTCCCGTACTTTAATGTCCAAACGTTGTCAGTGTATTCTATGGACAAAAATCAGACGAAAATATCAATTCGTTGGAAAATTAATAACAAAAATATGTAACTTAAAACTGTAATTCGTGTCATCCTTCTTTATTCAAATGCAGAACTGATATACTATTAATCTACGAAATACTATTGAATTTACTGTGAACTGAATTTGTTTTTTTTTGTTGAATTTTTTCACATGCAGTCTTGATTTTTGTAATCAATTCATTTCGCGTAAATGCTTCCGTATTGTGAATTTTTACCTTCGAAGATATTATTTCGGAAGTAGAAATCTGAAGATTTAAATTGTGACCTTGAAGATCTGAAGATAGGTCTTTCTCGATTAATCTATTGTTGGAAGTGACATTGTCGTACTTTGCATTTTTGTTGTAATTTTTTAACAAGGTATATTTCGCCGCGACAGCGACCATAAAAACGCTAGCGACTCGGGGGCAACTCATCACAATCAACAATGTCGAATTAAATATAAATATTCATAGAATGGGCAACTTTTTTTTACAAATATACAAACAAATATACAAACAAATAAACATTTAAAGTTAGGGATCGAAAAGGTGATTGAAACTTTTAAGTTTCTATTTAAAGTTCTACATTTACATTTCAGATTCTATTCAATTTTCTATTAATAGATATTATATATTATTAATATATAAATGAATAGAAAAATTTATGTTGAAATTGTAGTATAGAAATTGATCGATAATTATTAAGTAAGAAAATTAAATAAATATACAATCTAAAATCTTTGTAAGAATACAATCTTTCAAATAAATTTACAAAGATTAATTTTGTTTATTTATTTGATTTTTATTATTTATATATATTTTCCTAATTTTATTATAATATTAATACAATTGATTGTATATAATTATATGATTTATTTTATGTGTAATCATATATTTTTTAACAATATTATTAATATTAATTATTTTAGGTTGTGAAAATAAATTCGTTTGCATCATCAATGATGAAATTGTGTTCTTTACAGATGAATGAAGTAACCTTGAAAGTTTCATCTTTTTATTAAAAAATTGCATGAAATGATTAACATTCCAGTGTTATATACTACCCTTGGCAAAAAATTTTTGATCGAGTACATAAATGTATTTATAAATATTGAAATCTTTCTTATATAAGAATCAATTGAAATCGCTGGTTCTAGTTTTCTATATATTCGAAGCAACTGTAATAATATTTTATACCTAAAAGATTTTTTTTTTAAATTTTCAAATACTGACACTATTATGTCTGATCGATAATTTTTTACCAGATTCAATTATTTAATATTGGTCTAACATGTTTATTGCAATAGTATTCAGTTGTTACAATTATCGACAACTTAATTTATTCTCTCTTTATTTCCCAATATATTCTTTTTTGAATTTTATAATCATCATTGTTAACGTCAATCGAGTACATTGAGTGCAGTATGTGTATGATTACTTGTGAAATCATTTAGACTAGATCAGATTTGTCGAATTTCTTTCCTTTCGCGAATTATAATTTTTCCTCCAGGTTCCACACGAATTTCACTCTTAATTAATCGATTCTTCCACTATGTGCAAATTAGCTATTATTATATACATTTGGTTTAAGTTCTGTAACCCCATGCCGTAAGATTTTCTTCTTAGTCTTCAGTAAACATTTAGTTATTTCAAATGCAGTGGCGGTTCGAAATTTTTCTCGATATATAAATATATTTAGTAATTTATTTGTATTTACTCGTGATATTTAATCTTATCAACAATTCTATATAATTTTCTTATATAGAAAATAATAAAAATCTACTGTATTTATAGTGTTTCGAAAGTTGCAGCACCCTTGTGATTTCAAGTCGAATTACCACTGATAATACTTATGTTACATCGTCAGATGCAAAGCACTGAAAGCATTATATAAAATGTATTATTGTATTTATGATCTTCAGTTTGAAGAATTGAAATTGAAAATTCAAATTCACATTCCACTGGACTACAATTTGCTCTTTCTTTCAAATCGGAATATATAATTCCACGAGTATAACTCAATATTGCAACTCAAAATGTTAACTTTGTCAATTTATGGAAAAATATTTTTCTATATTCTATTCGTATGATGTGTGCATGTTTTCATGACCTATAATTCGACTTTTCATTATTTATGACTGGACTATGGTTTCAACAATTAATTATTATTACATATTATTATGTTACTTTATCCTATTTTGTTAAAAAAAAATCGATATGAATGTATTTTTAATCTTGATTACAAAAAGCGGCTGATGGAACTCGTGCAGCATATGGAGGAGAAAGAAACGGAGTAAAGTAGATATGGAGGAGACTCTTCCTTTATAGCTCTCAAAGAGGAGTGGCCAATTCGACAGGCCTGATTTAGACAAAGGATCTGTTTATCGTTTATTATACAATAGACAAATATTTGTTTCAAACGTAAATTTAAAAAGAGAAATAGGTACTTTCTTTACCTAACTTGCAATAAATGTTACTTGAAAAAAAAACTAATATGAAAATTAAATGAAACTTAATAAAAAAGAAAAGAAAATCTGAAAAAGTCAATACAGAAATAAAATTACCTAATAGAAAGAAACAATGTTTTTTTAGCTTTTTACTAATTACTACTTATAAGATCACATTAACCAGAGTCATCAATTTGATAACAATAATCAGCCAATTTTAAATTGGTTTCAACAAACGCTTTATTTTTCAAACATTTTGTCAGAGGTTGCTTGATTTTGAGAGTTTGATCATCGTCATCTAAGAGCATTCTCTCTACAGTTGTAGAAGAAGGGAGTGGTATGTCGTATTTAATGAAAATCCTTTGAATTGGTGAATATCTATCCAGCAGTACTTCAACTGCTGTTCAAGTATGCTGTAATTCAATTACAGTTCATGGTTACAGTAATTAGCAAAAAGTTTGAACCACTGTAATTCAACCGCAACGTAACTAAATCACTATGCCGCAGAAGTACAATGTAATTGAATTACATAATTGAATTACAATGCGATTCAATTAGCGCAATTGTGTTCCAGAGGAGGAAGTGAGGCTGAAATGGCGCAACTTGAGGGACCAGTTCCGGAGAGAGTTGAAGAAGATGAGGAAGCCCCGTTCTAACGATCCTGGCGATCCACCTATCAGCAATTACAGGGGGAAATGGTTGTACTTTGAAATGCTTTTGTTCCTGAAGGATACCATGATGCAGAGAAAAACGGAGGACTGCTTCAACAATAATTTGGTAAACGCGGAGGAAACGGAGTGCAAGCCGCAAGATATTGTGAACGACGAAGATTTAACAGTTACCGAGAATTCGCCTTTAACGTTGATGTCTCGCTGCTCCCCGGATGTCATTGACATAGCTCGGCTGTCGTCGCGCAACGAGAAATTTCGGACCGCCAGAAACGGTTTGGAACCACAAAATTCAGAGATGTTCGAGTCGCGAGTTCAGCGCTCGGGTTCGCGACACGGTTTCGAGAGAAGGAGGAAAAGGAAGGCGGTGAGGTTGTCGGACTTCGAGGAAAATATGCTGGAGCTAGAAAATAGGAAACTTTCGATGTTGATCGAGAAGGGATCGTCGGGGGAGAGGCACGAGTCAGAAATCGACGAGGACGTGCATTTCGCCAAATCCCTGGTGCCATTTCTCAGGAGATTGAATCCGTTGAGAAAGCTGGTCGTCAGGAACGAAATTCAGAATTTGCTGATCAAAGAGTTGCTCGACGAGTCTTCAATCTCGTCGAGTGTTTCGCAGACTTCCTTCACTACTCATTGTAGTAACAATATATAATTGTTCGCGTGCTTTATAAGAATTTAGGAATTAAAATATTTTCTTAATGGGCAATTCCTTTTCTTGCCACCGTTCAACTTCTCAAAATTCTGAGGAGTATGCTCGCTAATAAATCTTTCGCCTTCGAATTGACAAGATTTACGTCTGTGCTATTGGGTATTATTTGAATAAATAATTGTTTAAATAAGAAACGAACTGGGCTTTTATGCAAATTCGTATTTTTATTGTAAAAATTGTAAAAAAACCTCGGTAAAAAAAATTGTGGTACATATCAAAACAGTGTACTTACGATACTTTATATATTTTTTCATATTACGTGCATTTTGTGCAATACATTACATTGTAATATTTCCTACAAATGTAATAAAAATCCGTGATTTAATTATTTCAATGAGTTAACTCAAATAAAAGATTGTTTGATCTGATTTATTTATTATTTATTTGCATTCTAAATGTTATTAATGAAATTTATTGATATTAATGAAAATCATTTGTTGTTTCAAATTTATATTTGTTGATATATTTGTATTTTTCATATATTAATATTTTATTATATTATTATATTATATATCGTATCATATTATTTTATATAGCAACATTAATATCATTGTCTATTGGCATGTGACAATTCCCCTATTAATTTTAATTGATGCGATTTTACATAAATAATAAGTAAATAAGTAAATAAATAATAAGTAATAATTGAAAAATTGTTTTCACGGCTGAATCTGCCATAGATTCGAAGACTGAAGCCTTCATTTTACAACGACTTTCTAGAATTTGATGTACGATTTTCTTCTGCTATTTTATTGAACATAAACAAGATACAACTTATACAAGATACAATTTAATAGTAATTATTAACACTAAAGCAGTCGGCTTTTAATATTATAATATCAAAATATTCTACAAATCTAATGTATATGCAACATATAAACTTAAATGATAAAAATTATTTTTATGAATTTTATTTTCATTTTCATTTTATTCTAAATCAATATTAATTAATATTAATTTTATTCTAAATCAATATTAATTAATATTAATTTTATTCTAAATCAATATTAATTAATGAATATGAATCTGAAATTTGTCATATTGATTGTTGGTTGTAGTATTAAATATATATTTATATATTATTAAATTACATGATCAGATATACTTCAATAAAACAGTTTAAATCGACAATTTTCGAGTATATGATTCTCAAGCACATTTTTGCACGTCGTTCTAGCAAAAGATCTCGCAAGTTACTTGTTAGTAGACGCGCAACATCGCTCGATCGGATGACTGCGATGGTATCCATATATAGCCAGTTGTCGTTGGCGATCGATCAAATTTAAGCCAATCAATAACCAATCCATAACGGTGAAATAAACTGTGAAAATTGGAACATCTCCAACATTTTTCCGTGACTAAATTTATCATAGTTTCGAAAATTGGAATTTTCTCTTTGCGACAGCCCCCTAAAACTTGTCATGCGATCTGTTTTTCATCATTTCAGTAAACTTTTTTTTCACAAATTTATTCAAAAAAAATTTTTCAATAATATAGTAATTATAATTTTAACAATATTTTTCTGCGTTCAACTTTCTATTATTGATATGATATAAATATGACGTAATAAATAGTGGATATTATATAAATATTATATAATGAATTAGTAGAATTAGTATAAATATAACAGATAATATAAAAATAATGCAAATTAATTATTGATATAACACAAGCAGAAACAGTTTACTTTGCAAACGATACAATACTAATTTTCCTTATAAAAAAAGGGAGGAGAATAGAGTAGTAAAAAGGGCACGTAACGATACTGAACGTATCGTTATACATACATAAGAGTGTATATATGTAAAGATCGTTGATACAGACTACGTGGAACATCTTTAGAGATCCATCACCTGTTTAGTGGGGATAAGGTGAGAGTATAAAAGCTGAATTCCTCATTTCCTTAGGATCATAAACGATTGGATTTAATAGTACCTGCTGATCTTCTTCATTCAAAAGTGCCCTCTTTATCAAGATGAGAACAATTGTAAGTAATTTTTCTTTGTCTCTGTTCGTTCATCACGTTTAAACAAATATAACACGAATAAAATATCTTGTTCTCGAATCGGTTTGTCAGACGTAAGTGTAATTGAACTTTTTTTATTAGATTTAGGCAGTGCGATGTTACTGGTGTAAAATTGTTGATTATTGGTTTAATTATCAATGATTTTTTAATTCACAATTATTATCGATCTTCTAATTTATTGTATACTTTATTGTGCTCTTTTAAATTTAAATTGTGAATGATATTTTTAATTATATTATTAATCTTTTAAGTTATTACTGTATACTTTTAAATTTAAGTTGTAAATGATGCTATTAACTACATGATTAAAAAAGTCATTACTAGATTTTGTTATTTATATTTCAATTATGGATATTACTAATTTACTACGATATCATTAATCTTTAATATTCTATTATTAATTTTTCATTGTTATATATTTTTAAATTTAAATTGTGGATTATGTGATTAATTGATGTTATTAATTATATTTTATTACAATATTATCTACTAATCTTTCAAGTCATTATTATGTTAATGCTTTTAAATTTAAATTGTAAATAATATTATTAATCGTTATTCTCAATCGTATTATTAAAACATTTATTAATCCTTGAATTCACTATTTATTTTTATTATTTAAATTGTGGATGCTACTATTAATCGACATTATTAATCTTCCAATATTGTATTATTAACCTTCCATTATTTATGAAAGTATAAAAATAAATTTCCAATTTATAATGTACAAAAATAAATTCAAATCATGAATGACGCTGTTAATCAATCATGTAACTGTAATGAATCAACTAATAATTTATACTAGACATTCGAATCACTGAGAATACACTTTGAATTATCATTCCATAAATTTAACATTTTTCTTTTTTTTTATTAATAATTTATATTAGAATCACATTTGAATCATCAAACCAATATAATTGTCATTCCATAGAATTATTTTTAAAAATAAAATATTTTTCTTCTAAAGGTTATTAAATTTATGCTATATGTGTATGTATATTTTATATTTGGAAAAATTCTTATCGTTAACACGCGCGCGTATGTGTGTTGTGTCTATATGGGTATAAATATTATTAATTTATATTCAAATTGCGAATATATAGGATGATCTTTAGTCTTATGTTACGACACGAGCAACCGCAAAGAATACAAAGCAAACGAAATCGACGACGAGTTCGCAAACTCGTCGTAGGTCAGGAGTTAAATGACCCGCATTGGCATCTTACTTTCACTCATCTCACTAACACTACGTCGATCCTGCCGATCGTAGATCTCTATTTTTGTTGAAGCTTTATCCTTCAATGAAAAAAAAAAAAAAAAAAAATCGAATCGGTTAATTCTGTGAAACTTAACGTGAAAGAAACTCTGTTTGTACTATAATATTTTATTATATAGATCTACTTATTATATAGATCTATTTAATATATATCTACTAATATTTTGTTGCAAATATCATTTAAAAATTAATTTCTAGAAAGTTAGAAAATCTTAGCGATAAATTTTTAAAAATTTTTAAAAATTCATTTCATTGCATTTCAAGTGATAAATATTAAATTATTTTAAATGTTATAATTTCTGTTATTTATTAAAATAATAGTAGTTGTCAGTGGACTAATTTAATATATTTATGGGAAAATGGAAGACGAAAATGTATAAATTATCTAAAGTAAAGTATTTACCAGAATGTATGGTAATTTCTATTTAGGTTCCATTTCTTTAGCTTTGTATTGTACATAAAAATTTAAAAATGTATAAAAATCTGCAGTCTAGTTATCATATTTAATGAACATAAAAATTTAATTTTCTTATTTACGGAAAAATTAATAAATTTTTAATTATATAAAATTAAGCTAGAGATAGTGGGAAGCACTAAATATCAAATATTCTAAGTATACTATATACAGGATATTTTCAATTTTCTTCGTTAAAAAGAATAAATTCTTTGGCAAAGATTTTTTAAATTAAAATCGAATAAATATTATATAGAAATTATATAAAAAGATATTTTGAATTAAAACCGAATACATATTATAGAAATTATACATTCTATAATCAAATATATAGAATATTAGAATATAATATAAAATGAAATATAGGATATAAAATACGTAAAATAGTACGATCACATTAGTTTCTATAATAAATTATTTACTATTCCGTGGTCGAAAAAATTTTTGTCCTTCAATCTTCTTAAGTTTAATTATTAAGAAAATTTACTTTAAATGTAAGCGCAGATCAAATACTTTGGAGCTTTATATTTAAGAATTTTAAAAAATTCAAACTGTAGAGTTAATATCTTTGTTACTACGAACAATCAGTAGTTGTTAAATCTGATTTAATAAACTAACAATTTTTACTGATTAGGTGATAGCGATAATTTTTGGATTGGCAGCAGCACAAGATTCGAATTATAATGTTCGTAACAGTTACCACGAGGATAGATCGAATCCTCCAAATGACGAGAGGAGAGGCCCATTGACGACCACACCTATTCCAATTTTACATTGGAACAAGCAGCAAGAGCACGATGGAACTTACAAAACTAGGTACCAATTTTTAATTTAATGCTTTTCTAATACATAAATTAATATATAAATTCATTTTGTATAATATTACATTATATTACTATATGTACATGTATATATGTGTGTGTGTATGTGTGTGTGTGATAAATATAAAAATATAATATAACATTATAATTAAATTACAATGAATAAATTAATATGTTAATACATTATAATATCGCATATTTATAAATATAAATATGCATCTAAAATTGAAAGTAGAAAATGTTTTTTATCTTTCATAATATTATTTATATCATTGTCTATTTATTCATAATATTATTAATCATTATTTTATATTATTATGAACCGTTGAATGTTAAATAATATATTTTTTTACAAAATACTTTATAATTGATTAATTGAATATCGTAATTTTATGATTAATCGAATGTTAAAAAATTGAACATTAAATTGAATGTTAAGAAACTAATATATTCTGAATTAATTTATAAATATTATTAAATATTACATAATTAAATATTTTACAATTAAAAGAACAAGTCAGAAATGTTTTATTTTGAGATCTTTATTTTTCATTATATTATACAATCTATAAGTCTGTTCTTAATTAATATTATATAATCATTTTTTCATTCTACATTTCAATATATGTTATTGTTTAACATATATTATATTACATACATTAACATACTTTATATATATGCTAATTTATTAAATTTATTTCATTTAATTTCCCGAGATTACATGACAAGTGTAAACTAAATTTTACAGTGATACATTCAAAAAAACATCGAATGCTACAGATTATTTACAAATCGTCAAATCTAATATAATTGATCGAAACGAAGCTTACGTAAATGTTACGAACAACACAATTTTACAACAGAGACTTTCACAATCGCAATACGATAGCGGTAAGATAGAAATTTGCCAGCGAAAGCTCCATTTTAAACGCGAAACGACGATGACGTGGGCACACGGCTTCGAAGATGAGGCGAAGCCTTCGAAGAATGCGATTCGAAATTTCATGTGAATAAATTATCCGTAGTTACGAAACGGGAAACAATATTATCGCCGAGGAGAGCGGTTACATTAAGAAAGTAGGCGAAGGCGAGGAACAAGGAGAAGCGTTGGTCCAACAAGGAAGCTTCTCGTACACGAGTCCCGAGGGGAAGCTGATCACCATCCATTATACGGCCGACGAGACTGGCTTTCACGCGACCGGAGATCACATTCCCACGCCACCGCCAGTCAGTGAAGAGATACAGAAAGGCCTCGACCTCATCTTCGCAGGCATTCGTCAGCAAGAGGTACGTCCCACGATTTTTCCTTTTCCTCGCTCTCTGATTCGTTTCTCTGTTCGCTCTTTCCTGCTCCCTCTTTGTCCTTCGATCGTTCAATCGATACTTTCTTTCCTTTTTATTTTGTCGTTTCGTTAAGTTTGAACATTGAAACTTGTTCTCTCGCTTGAAACAGAAACTTTAGTTCGTCGCCAAGAAATTAATGTATGTCACTTGAATAATTATTTTTTTTCTTTTTTTTTAAAAAAAAAAAAAAAAAAAAAAAAAAAGGAAACTCTTATTAGATCGGTTTGTAAATGATTTAAAAGTGCAAGATTGCATAGAATTCACGCAATCTGGAAAAGTATGGTGTTTTCTATAATATTTGTTGCAGAAAATATTTTATTTTTTTTAATTACGTCTTCGAGAATATAGATACAAATTTATCAGTCAGTGAAGAGATTCAAAAAGACCTCGACCTCATCTTTGCAGGCGTTCGTCCCACGATTTTTCCTTTTTCTCACCTTACGATTCTTTTCTCTATTCACTCCTTCCTGTCCCTCTTTCTCTTTCAATTGTCCAATTAATATTTTCTTTGTTATTGTTGATCCCTTATCTTGAGAAAGTTTACTTTGAAACTTTCTCAAAGTGTTATTTTATATTCTTCTTTAGTTAGAGATTAGAGAGTTCTAATATTTAAATAAATTTACGCAATAACGTCGGAAAGAAGATTTAATTTTTATTATCAAAATAATTAATTTATATTATTATATATTATATATTTGTGTATTTTTAATTAATTTGATCGTCAAAGTAATTAATATAAATAATTGAAATATTTTTATTTTAGTTATCAGTAATTACCATCGACGACTAGAACGTTACTTTCATTATCGAGAACTTTCATCATTTTGAAAAATTAATTCAACCATTGTCAATCATTATATTACTGATAACCTTAATTAATATTTATTGTCAATAATTCAGTATTTCCTCATAGATATTATAAAAAAATTAATTATAATTAAAAATATTATAAATATTAATAAAATTATTAGAATTATATTATATTAATAAAATATAAATATACTATTTACCTATGCACGTATTATATATAAATTTATATATATTATGTCTGTATATAGTATATCTGTTCACGAAAGATTATTACATTACTATATATAGTAATTCCATAAGAGATTAGAAGTTATTATAAAATTCATATGTTCATATATATTTTTGAAAGAAATATACACATTAATACATCATGCAAGCTAAGATACGAGCTAAGATAATGCAAATATATTACTTGTTACATTTTTTTTTTCAAACTATTTTCGACAGAACAAAATATTAAATAATAAATATACTTGTCCTAATTAATATAACACATTAAGAGTAATAATAATAATACATTTCAGGAAGCAGAGGCGCGAGAAGCAGCTCAAAAAGGACAACAGCAGCCTTTGAGCCAGCAGATCGAGCGACGAGACAATTACGATAGAAAATTTCGAAAATGAAATAACGATGAAATAAACATTGTTGAGATACATTCTACACGTAGCATAAAAATAACCGATTAAGTCCTTAAGTTAAGACTATTTTAATGTAATAAAATAAATTTAACAGTATGTAAATAATGTAAATGTGCTTTCCTTTATTGGTAGAAGTCATTTCAAATATTGAAGCGAGGGATAATTGTAGAGTAAGTGAATTTAGCAACAAATTAATCAAAAGTTTCATTGATTGATGAATTTATCTATATTAGGTATAAATAGAGTGATGGTGAATTTATTTATATTAGGTATAGGTATAGAAATAGAAATATAAACATGTGTATTAAACATGCTGGTATTAAATGTTTATTTGTAATAATTAACGAAAGTAACAGTACTAGGTCTTTGATTATTTGACAAAAAAGAAAAGGAAGTATTTTTTTACATCTCTTATATAAAGATTTTATATTTCTTATATAAATAAAAATAATATATCCCTATATACATATTTCAGAAATAAATGATTAAGCTAGTCACATTTGTACGCGCGCAGGTATACCAACTTAATTCTAGCTATCTCTTTAATGCCAACTTAAACTTAGTTTTGTTAGTTCAATAGCCTAGTATATAATGTGTGATACATTTGATTTGATTTTGTTTAAAGTCACATCAACTTCACAGTTATTAGCGACTATATAATGAAACAATATAATTTATAATTAATAAATCATGATTTTAATAATTTTATATTATATATTTCATAATCCCACTTTATAATTTGTAATGTAAATTTATATTTTATTATAGATTTTATATTATATATTTTAGTAGTTTAATAATGATTCATAATTTGATATATTATATAGTATCAGTAACTTTAATTAACTAGTAGGAATAATATGAGATAGATTTACTTTATATTTTCAAACGGTATCATTTTACAAAAATAAGTTAAGAAAAATTAATTTTTCTCTTGCAATTTTTATTTTAATTACAGTTTAATTTTATTTACTGTAAAATCTGAGTAGTGTCTATAAATATGTATGATTATAGTAAATCCAATTCTTTTTGTCACGTATATATATTTTTCGTAATTTGAAGGTTAGTTTTATCTCAATTTAAAGCGTTTTTCTTTTTGTTTTTGGAATAAATGTTATTTATATATATTCAGAGATACAATATGACAACGATTATCTGATTATTATATACAAGATTGATTATTATGCAAAAGTATAATTATATATTTGCAAAAATGCAAAAAAGATAAAAAAAGTTGAGTGATATTAAAAATGTTAATGGTGTTAAATATTGAAACCACTGAACTACATAATTCATTAAAATAAATTTTCATTAAATTTTTCACTGAAGGAATTATTCATGTATCTTCAGTTGTACACATTTTTAATCATTGATGGACAAGAAAGTGACTTTAAATTTTTTCAAAGTAATAGAAGTGACAGAAGTTTTAGAAAATTCTTTTCTTTTTTTTACTAGCATATGTCTTTACAAGAGAAAAGATAATTTTGTAGAAATTGATATATAGCTTTCTGCTATTGTATTATATACTAAAATACATTGTATATTCAAAGATGCTAATGAAATACATACATATATAATGACCTGTCCAACGAATGAATATTCCTTAGAGAATAAACTATTATATAACACAAAATATTAATATATGAAGTATGAAAAATTAACTCTATAGATTACTGATAAGTAGACTGTGGGTTTTCATGTATTTATAGAAAATTGGAAATTATAAAGATATTACATTTATACAAGGTGGCCACTGAAGAACTGAAGAGTTTGAAAAAGACGTAACTTGTTCATTTTCAATCTTTTTTACTTTTTTTTTTGTAGGTTATAGAACATCCTTTGAAGATTAAAATGGCTACGTATGATTTCCAGAAACGCATAAAACTTATTGAGTTTTTCTGTTCCAATAAAAGATCAATTATTCAAACTCAGAGAAAATACCGAAAACATTTTAATATCACAGTATCTCCTAGCGAAGGCATGATTCGGAACCTAATCGCCCGGTTTGAAAGAACTGGTCAGTCGGTAATCTTCCGAGAAGAGGTCCTAAGCGCACTATGTGCATTGACGCAACGATGGAAGCTGTACGACAGAGTGTCCTTAAAAATCAATCTGCTTCCGTCGTCGTCGCTCTGCTAAACTAGGTATCGCCAGAACATCGCTTCAAAAGATTCTGAAAGTAGATATAAAAATATTTCTACACAAGATCAATGGTCCAAGTTTTACTACCCTAATATATTCAGCAGCGCTTGCAGTATGCCATTCGATTTCAGCACCTAGCCAGAGATAACAACAACTTTTTGAACTTGATAATGAGTGATGAAGCCCATTTTCATTTAAACGGGTACATCAACAAACAAAACTGCAGATTTTGGAGTACTAAAAATCCCAGGGAATTAGATCAGCATCAATTGTATTCCCAAAAATGCACTGTTTGGTGCGGTGTTATGGTTGAAAAAGTTATTGGCCCCTATTTCTTTGAAAGTGAGGAAGGTCAGCCAGAAAGAATCAACGGGGCTCTGTATAGGACGATGTTTGAAAATTTTTTACGCTCAGCGGTCGAAGATAATCAGAAAGTAGGTTCCAACAGGATGAAGCTACCGCGCACACTGCCAGGGCGACGATGGACCTCTGCGAAAAATTTTCGGTGAATGAATAATTTCAAAAAATGCTGAATTTTTTTGGCCTCAGCATTCACCCGATTTGACGGCCGCAGACTTCTTTTTGTGGTGCTACTTGAAAGAACGGTACGTAAACAAACCTCGAACAATTCAAGAACATTCAAGCCGAAATCCGACGGGCTTGAAACTTTGCGTACAGTCATGGAAAATGCTGTGGAAAGAGCCCTTATTTGTGAGCAGGAAATCATTTGAAAGATGTTTTTCACACATGATACTGAATAAAATCCATTAGTTATATTTCCAAATAAAAATAATAAAATAATAAAAAATTTTAAAAACGTGTGTTTGTAAAAGTTATTTGTTTTATATCGTTCAGTCATTCACTGACCACACTGTATCACACAATATATAATTTAAGAATCCAAAAATGTACAAAATATCTAGACTGAAGTGTTTATTGTAATATGTCCCTAAAACAAATTTCTATTTAGATCCTATTTAGTTAGGTTTATTTGTGTTCAGTTAAGTACTAAAAATTTAAAAATACATAAAAATTCACTGTCTACATTAAGTAGAAAGTATATATTATATGTTAAAAATATCTGTATGTTGTTTTATAAGAAAGATGTGTCAAATTGAGGGATGAGAGTTATATTGAGAATTTTATAGAACTCGTCACTAACAACATAAAAAAAATTAATTATAAATGTTCCTAAAAATTCAAATAGAAATAGTTAGTTATTAATTAATTCCTGCAGAAATTCAGGTTTTTATTTTATTATTAACGATGTAGAATTATTATAAATCTATAACTAATTTTTTACACTATACTTTATATTATAAAATTAATATTAATAAAAATTATATTAGTATTTAATATATTATATTATAATTGTACTAATTATATTATCAGTCAATAAATACTTCATTATAGGATCGTTTTAACAGAGGGTTTTAATGTTGAGTTAATATAGTACAATTTATTAATTGCTACAAATATTTTTTTTTAAATTAATTACTTCAATATTAGGATGTTTTAATTATATTAAGTAAATACAATTTTGAACTTATACATGTATAAACTACTAACTCTAAGATAAATTATTAAACAATTGAAGCGCTTCTAAGTTCATTAATTTTTTTTTACAATATACAATGTATTTTAAACACATATTGTTGTTATTTATTTTGTGATAGTTGTTTTTTTTTTTATGGTAATGACCTCTTCAATTTAATTCTGCGCAATAGCTTTTTTAAAATTTTTTACGGACTAAAATGTCATTCGAGGATCATAAATACTAAAATAAAATAATTTAACATGGCACACAAAATTTACAGCTTACAATTCCTTTGTAAAACTAATATTCGGTGAAGGATTAAAAATTCCTTTTTCCGCGCTATTCTATTATTAGTATAAAATGCGAATAACACGTGTTGTATAATATATACAATAAGTAATAATTTAAAGTCTAAATTTGTTTTACATTAGTAACAACTTACGAATAATAATTACTTAAACTGCGGATTTTTATGCATTTATATGAAATTTAAAAACTTAATAATATAAACAAAGCATATAATATACAAAAATATACAGTGTGTCCCGAATTTCAATGCTCAAATCTTGTATTTTATAGGTAAAAATAAAACTAAAATATCGTGTAACAAAAGTTAATAAATGCTTCATTGAAAAATTGAACGAAAATACGATCAATACGATTGATTTCAATGATGATTTAGTCGAGAAACATCTATCTTAGTTATTAGATTTTACATCTTCAAATTTCCACCTATGAAAAGGTATCTATTATCTTCGAAAACAAAAATTTGCAATAAAATATTTACATTACAGCAACGAAAAAATTTTTCGGTCATTTGTAATCAAGACGTTTGATTTTTCAATCGTGTGGTTTTTTGAAAAATTCTTTTTACATCTTGAGATTAATAACATTAACTTTAACATAAATGAGTTTCAGTTGCTGATTCTTTTTCATAAAAATTTCTGGGATAACTGTTATTTGTCATCTCTGGTTGAAAACAAAGAATAAAATTTATTTAATCATTACGATTAATTTTAATCATAAATGAACATTAATCAGTCAATGAAACTAAAAATCGACTAATACCCAACTCTGCCAACACTATGCGTGGCAATAACAATATTTTGCATCTTTTTCTCTTCCTTTGATTCTAATAAAAGACACACGAGATAACTCGTCAATGTATGATATATCATCCCCGCGTGTTATTTCTATTTTCAATTTATACCTCTGATTAAAGAATCAACGATAGATCTTTAAGGAATAATTAAAATTACTTTCAAATTCTAATTTTAAGTGTAATAGTGTTAGTAATTTGAATATAAATTCAAACTTAGTCTTATTGAAAACAAAAATTCAGAATACTTTTAAATTACGAATTAGATCTTAAAGGGCTACCACTAGTATTTTCTACTACCCCTGGTCAAAACAAATTTCGAATCAAACCCAAGTATTCAAAGAAACATTATTTAAAAACATTGAAATCTTTTGTACAAGAGAATTCAACTGAAATCGCTGATTCTAGTTTGCAATATATTTCAAACAAACATAACAATATTTTATTTTTTCTGTAGAAACTATCCTTGTTCTAAAAAAACAAATCAAAAGGAAACTAGAACAACAAATGGAAATTTAACATCTAAATCACAATTGACAATAAGAAACGATTTCTGCAAGAAAGTTGTAGTCCACACTTTGCCAAGACACGACCAAGAATAATTATCAAGAATAATATTAGGACAATTAATGTCAATTGAATGCAGTTGAATGTCGAATGTGTGCTCAAACGATTACAACGATTATATAACAATCTAGCTACCCTCAGATTTTTAGCTAGCAGGGGCTAAACTCAGAATAAATGGAGGATCAATGACATTCTCCATTACTATGTTGTAAGAAAAGAAAGGATATAGAAAAAGAAAAGAGTACAGAATTGGAGAGGAGGAGCTAGCTTTTGGCGTTTCTGGGTACACTTTAATAGATCTTTCCTGGAAAGATTCGCAGAGTGACGCAGCGCATTCTGTGCTAAAACAGACGATAATGCTTGAGATGAGATCACACTCGTGTGAGGGGAACCCCTTCGAAAAGAATTCTCGATTTTCCTTCTTAGAGTGCCGAGATACTAATACTCTTAATATTTTATATCCAAAAGATTTCAATGTAAGTTTCATTCCAAAAGAAGCTCTTCTTCAGGGGTAAATTTTTAGAAATTTCATTCACTTTTTCTGCCCTTCGTTTTGTGGAGCTAATCGATTTGACAAACAAACGTCTCAATTGTACCTGTACGTTTTAGGTAACGACGGGTCGTAAGGAGTCGAGTCGAATCCTACGTACTTGTTGTTCTTCTTATGCAGAAAACCACCAGTTTGCGGGTCTGTTTTGAAATATATCACCCTTCTAATGCCAAACGGATCGATATAACCAAAGGAACCGACGTTGGCTCCATTCGACTCTTGTTCCTCTTCGTGGTATTGTCTCTTCAAGTAATACTGAAATCCGTTGGCAGTCTTGTAGGTTCCATCGTATTCGGGGAACGTCGTTGGATTGTTTCGTGCTTGGAAGCTCGGCTTCAGACGTCCGTTTCGAGTAACGGGGAAATTGTGATACGTATTCCTAGATCGAGAGTAGTTATTTAAATTGTCGACATTCGACGAGGAACTCGCTCGACTCGGGTTGTAGTAATAACTGTTTGAATCGGACAGAGAGGAGTAGTCCGCTTGAGGTTTCGCAGTAGTGGTGACATAGTAATCAGAACTTATGTCGTTGCCTAGCAAAGGAACAACGTGTTCTGTTTCCGGTCGCCTGTAAAAAGACGTTAATTTTATTATTAATTTCAGCAGACATCGTGCATTTTATAAGACAAATTTTAAATTATCTGTTATTAATTAAATGAATATAATTAATATTAAATTATTTATTATTAAAAAAATTTATTTATTTATTATTAATTAAATATTAAATTAGTTATTGTCACATTGCGCATTTATATGAACTTTGGAAATTGAATGATACACAGAATGCGTGTAAAGTGCAATTAGGATAAACGGGGGATAATTCGGTCGAACATTTTTCGAAAAAATATTGTACAATTGTTGCTTCCTTTCTCGGATTTTTGTTGTTTTGAGCAAATTTAGGCAACGTCCGTGTTATTTAGGATGTAAGTAAATTATATCGCGACAAATAAAAATTATTTACTTTCATTTTCAATCAATAAACGTTGAAGATATGTAATTTGCAAAAGATATAAGGAAATTAATTGGTATTCTTCAATTTTCTATGTAGAGAGCAAATATTTCAGTCGTAGCTTTTAATTATGCTATTCACTGTACTGATAATATCTGAATACATTCTTAAACTTGTACTCTTATTACAGTTATAATTATATGTTGTAGTTATACAAATTGATAATAATACCTGAAAGGATTTGGCGGACGTGTTGGTTTTGCAAGAATTCCACTTTGAGCAGGCACTCGTTTTGCTTCCGTTACAGCATCGTAGATGGGTCTGTTTTTGCCCACATAGACCATTTTTGACCTAATTAAAACATAAAAATTTTCACATAATTAATTAGATGCTCTTTTTTTTTATTAATTTGTAGTAATGATGTATATTTGTAGTAATATGTAGTAATGATGTAATAGGGTAATATAACAGAATAATTTTTAATTAAATTATACTAAATTATACTACACACAAACATATATACATATATAATTTATACATATATATTTTTAATTAAATTATACTAAATTATACTACACACAAACATATATATATACATATTTGAATTTGGAAATTTCTTCTCATTTTTCATATACAGGGTGAGTCTCGTAACGTGACGACATCAAATAACTCATAAAATATTTGTTGTACGAAAAAATCTCAGTACCTATATATTTTAGACCCTATTTTGTGCAATATGTTGTTCAATGCTTTATCCGAATTCGGGAAAAAATATTAACTATAAAATATTTGTTGTACGAAAAAATCTCAGTACCTATATATTTTAGACCCTATTTTGTGCAATATGTTGTTCAATGCTTTATCCGAATTCGGGAAAAAATATTAACTATAAAATATTTGTTGTACGAAAAAATCTCAGTACCTATATATTTTAGACCCTATTTTGTGCAATATGTTGTTCAATGCTTTATCCGAATTCGGGAAAAAATATTAACTATTCCATTTGAAAAATTGAAGATGACCTTCATATCTTGATAAAAAAAGCTGATTGGAGTACCATATGTTCTCCTGGAAGCCATGCAACTTCTATCTGAACATTTTTTCGCCTCTATATCATTATTAGACAGCGGATTTTCATTATGTGTAACTAATTAAATGGAAATTTGTTTCTAACACTGAATATTTTATAGCGTGTAATATATTTTATTTATTATTTTATATATTTTTGTATTTTGTACATTTCTCAAGTCCGCAGTCTAATTATTATTTTTTATATGCTCTATTATATACCATAATTCTTATAATTTCTTCTAAAATCGAATCTTATTATATATCTTTATTATTAATTTATTTCCATTCATTCATATATTTTTATTATTCACTTATTTTCAGTCATTGTTGCTTCACTAGTGCATAAAATTAATTAATGATTATTTAATAATATTTAATTATTATTAAACAATAAATAGTAGCATATATAAATCGAAAAAATTTAGCGATGATATTTTATAACATAATTAATTTTACATAATTAATTGTTGTATCTTTTAGGAATAATATATAATATATAATAATACTTGTAGAAATAATATTAAGTTCATTATCGTGCACTATAGGGAGGGAAGTATTAATGGAAAAATGATTGCAAAATTTTTTTACATGCGCGCGTATATTTTATAATTATGATATTTATAAATGTTTTATTATATTATTTATGAGTATTTATAATTACTTCATTATAAACGTATAATAATTATTATATTTATTAATATATATAATTATTATATCTACATTTACACTCATATTTGTTATAAGATTTACAATCATTTTATTATATTATTTATATATATTATACTATTATATGATAACTATTATATTTATGTATATTTATATAATAATTTCATATTTATTATAATTTTTAGTTACTATAACAATTATCAATATTATTATATTTACTCTATTCATTACATTTATGATTAATGTAGTACGTATTATATTTATTATTAATATTACTACTAATACAATCATTTTATAAATGTAATAATTCTATAGTTTTATAATAATTGCTATATTTTATAATTATATTTTTAAATACATTATATTTTTAATTCTATAGTTTTATAATAATTGCTATATTTTATAATTATATTTTTATATACAGTTTATAATTATATTTTTTACATACAGTTTATAATTATTTACATTACCTTAGAATTCGAAACCCGTTATTGTCCGCTATATAATCCTTGAGACGTAAGTATCCAAGAGGATCTAACCAACCCTCTGTACCAATTACTGTACCATCAGTTAATCTTTTTTCCTTTCTGTATTGTCCATTTAACGTCTGAAAGCGAAAGAACCTTTCAGGCCCTTCGTCCGTTTGAATATGGTACTGCGTATTCGGATCGAAACTCCAGCCACTTTTTTCAGCTTCTATTTCACTCGTAGATAAGCACAAAATAGAAACCTGAAACGACAGAATAATAATTTTAAAATATTCTTTTTCACAGATTGTAAACGTTGGTTGATTTCACGTCGATTGAAAGACGTGATATTACTTGTGTACAAAATTGGGCATTAATCGATTAAAATTTTTAGTCTGATTGACTGATTTATAATAAAATTGTGATTAATAAAAGTAATTGTCGATTAATTATAAATCAATAAATAAAATTAATCATCGAAAAATTAGCGATTGATTTAGTATCGACTAAGTCGTCAATTATCAATTGCTCATTATTATATCAAATTTGATTATAATTTCATTTAAATTGAAGGTATACTTTGTAATTGTAATAAAGCGTCGATGGTTCGGGGTTAAGATATTTAATCAAAATAAACTATATTTCTGACTTATATTGTTAAGAGATTTAGAGCGGTCCATATGTTCCTACAAGCTTGATTATTATTTATTTTGTACTCTTTCAAAATTTATAAACAGTAATAATAAAAACTCTATTTCGCTGCATGTTACGTTAATTTATTTGATCAACAAATGATCTACCAGACCTGGACACTATTTGAAATAACATTATTTGAAATGTTATTTTATTTCAAAGTACAATTTTCATCACTGTATTATATTATATAATAATTATTTTTCAATATAACGATGAAAATTGTATTTTAAAAATGAAATAATTAAATAAAAAGAAATTAAAGAATACGAAATAAAACAAAATAATGTAATATAATATTATTATATTAATATATTATCATATATTATATTATACATTGTAATATATAAATAATAATATATTGTATTGAGAAAATAATATTAAAAATAATTATTTTGCGTTTAAAATACAAAATTTGAAACAATGAAACAATTTGTATAATCACTTTTGTTGATAATATAATTTGATGCTTGTGTTATCTCAAGAATTGTATAGTATGGGGTTGCTTTTTATTTGAGATTATTATTTCAAAATAAGTGTCAAATAAGAACATCGAAAATGGTAAACTGAAATAATATTTCAAATAATTTATTTCTTACTTTATTTTAAAATAAAATTTGCCCAGGTCTGATTTCTACAAATAATTTTTCTCAAATCGTTTCCTACTTTATTCTATAAACTTCTTCCTCTTTCTTATTTTATTTCAACAATTTGACTCAAATAAAACAATCACTTGCAAATGATTGGTCTAATTCCTAGAGATAAATTTACTTTTCAAATAAGAATAACAAATTAGCTGAAATGATTCGTTATTTTCCATCTTTGTATCAGATATAATTTGCCCAATCCTTTTGTACTTTCATACTTTGGAAAAGAATATAATTAAACCAACGTAAAGATGTGCGTGTAATTATAATTCAAGTTTCGAGCCGAGGCGTATTTGTAACAGCAAAATTAACTTTAATGTCGTATACGCCTATTGTTAATGATAAAATAAGGCACTGCGAAGAATAGTGAGATCTGTAGTATTGAGGACAGCGGAAGCAAGGGAAAGGTGATGGTGAAAATACCACGACTGACAATGCTTTGGTACATAACTGTAATTTATCGGTTTCAACGCCCGACTTAGAAGATATGAATAATTAACTGGAGATACGAATCACTGGAAGATACGAATAATTGGAATAATTACACAGCAGGCACCCTTCTTTATCCGAATTTTTCTTTCACCAATATAAATATTAACCAGAATCATTAAAAAAAATCAATCATTGTTGATTAACTCTTGTAATTTGTAATCATTAACCAGTAATCTTTAAATCGTCGAGCGATTAATTTTATTTACTATTTCAAATAATTCTATTTATTTTATTCCTATTTATTCCTATTTATTTATTTTAACATTGGAAATGAAATATTTTACTCGATACAGAGTAAATTTTTAGAATATTATTTTTTTTTGAAAAATATTCTAAATATTTAAATTTTTGTTTCAAAATATTTTATTTGTTATTTTAATTCATTTTCTTTATTTTAAATATTATTGTTTGAAGAGAAAATAATGATTCACATCCAATTTACGAGCATGAATAGTTTCTTAATCTTCTTAATTTGTGCGCAAAAATAAGGTGAAAGAATTAATTAATTTCTCAGAGTTTTAAAACAACGTATTCAACTGTAGAAATTCAGAAATATTTTTTGTTTATAATTTTTGTTCCTTAGTTTCTTTCAATATTTCGATGAATAAGTTTCAAGTCAAAGAAAAAAAATAAAAAAACAGCATTATTTATGAGATGACCTAATACTTTAAGAAAGATTAAAATATTTTCTCATGCTTCAAATTAATAAAGTAAAATATTTTATTTTGTTACTCAAGGTTGTTAATTTGAATTAAATGAGAGTATTTGATTTGCCGAAATTTTATATTTTATTTAAAATATATTTAAGATATTAAATAGTATTTGAAATATTTATTTTGCTGAATATATTTTTATTAGCATCTGTAATAAGTTATTTCCAAATTGCCATAACACGTTCAAACATGTTAACATTAATATTATACATATTTTATACACTTCATCATTATTATTTATTATTACAATAATCATTATTATTTCCAACGTGTTTTAATTGAAAAAAATTATCCAGGACAAATCTCAATCGTTCATTTCATTCCTATACAATGTACTTAATAAATCATTGTACGTGTTCCACTTACTCATTATATGTTTATTTTCAAAAATTTATTATCTCGATTTAATATTATAATTGAATAATTTTGATAGCCATCGTACATTGCGATGTTATACATACAATTTTATATATAGACTTTGTAAATAATATGTATTGTTGTGTAATAAATGAATAAAGTAATAAACAATGAACATTACATAGCATTAAAATTACTATATGTAAGAGTTACCAGTGTATAATTATATTACACTATTTATGTAATTTCGCTATGTATTTGTATTACATTATATATTTAATCTTTATGTAATTTTCATGTATAATTGTATAGATTAAAATTTATATAATTTGCTAAATTTTTATTTTGTCATTTATTAAATTAAATTATATTGTCAGTCAGAATATTGAATTTTATATTGTCATTTATTAAAGTTGGTATTAATTAATTAATAAACTTACATCATTGGTTATTATAGAGCAACATTATAACGCGTAATTGGAATAATTTCACTTGAGCACTCATCGTCAGATGTGTGTCATAGTAATCACTCTATTCTTTAATAAAAATTAACATTCACCAAGAGTTCATTCATTTTCCATATTGAATCAAATGACCTTCGTAACATCAAATTGATATGCATAACACGTTGCATTAATTATTAGTGCATTTTGCTCAACCATGTTTTACCATATGTGGTGAGGATATAAGCGTGCCGAGTTCTTTTATATATTATACAGGGTGTTCCATATAATTGGAACAAGCTGTATTTTCCTAATATTACAAATAGAAACATAAAAAGTGTTTTAGTTAAAAATTAAATATTATTCAAAATGAAACATGATCTGAAAATATTTTCACGTATTTTATACAGGATGTTCTACATAATTGGAACAGGTTGTATACCTTCCGAATGAGTTAAAAATAGAGAAAAATGTTGTGCATGGAAAGTAAATGGTATTCAAAATTGAACATAATCTATTTTATGCATGGTGTTCAATATATTTGGTGTAAGTTGTATCTTTCAAATGAGTTAGAAATAATGTTATACATGAAAATTAATATTTTCATACACAATATTTTTGTGTATTTACTTTATGCTTTCGAAAAATGCAATTGCATTTTTTCTTTTTTAAATTAATATAGATTCTTTACTCTTAAATTTACAATCTTTTTTTTAAATTATAGATTTAAAATTAGAACTATCTACATTTGCAACGAGTTAATTTTTAAAGAAGGCAATTAACATATTTTCACCTTGAACCAATTACTTTAGTAATTTTTGCTATGTTTATATAACACTTTTTTTTTTGTTTTCAATAGTAGAACAGGTTGACTGATAATTATAAACATATACTCTATAAGTATAGATACATATATTAATATATATATATATATATAAACTTCTGTTTCTTACTAGACAGTTTTTCATAGTCTGTAAATAAACGTATTCGAATTTTCCTCGTATTATCTCTAAGGCGTTCGTCCCCCATTTTTCATACTAAATTTATTCCTTGGTATTAAATTGACGCAGTTTATGAATGCAAGATTATGAATGAATAAATACATACTTAAATATGCAAATTCTTTCATTGAAAATAAATAGATTTAATTGCTTAATAGATAAAATTCCGATACAAAGCCGACTAAATCCGTATAAGTAAATTTTATATCCTGATCTCATTTTCTTCTGGTTTAGTCTAATATTACGATTCATTTTGAACCTGTTGCAAAATTATATTTCAAAAATGTAAATGTCTGTACGTATCTTCGAAAAAGTGGTGCATCGAATGTATATACTCCTGGCTCAAACGCAAGTATTCGAAAGTACTAAAGGGCATTGAAACATTCGAGATATAAAATACTATTGTATTTTGTTTAAGATACTTTCGAATACTGTTGAATACTTTCGAATAATTAATAACTGTAATTGTTTAAAAACCATATAATATTTTTCGATAATTTTATTGAAATAATGCCCAAACTTGGCATTATAAACATATATAAATTAAATTATAATAATTTTCCAACGTGTTATGTGACATTCGAAAATCAAAAAATGCATTTGACGTGTTTTGTTTATGACAATTAATTACAAAAGTTTCATGATTCAACTTACCGTTAACAGGTTTAGACAACATAATTTCAATAAAAGCATAGTCGTTAAAATAGTTATGACATTTCAGCGGAATTACATCATTATTCTGTTGTTTGTTTCTCTTCTTTTTCTCTTTCTTCTTTTTACAAATCAAGATCACATTTTAAATTATTTAAAATCAATAATATAGCGATAACGATATTTCATCTTTATGATAATTCCTAAAAGATTTGTTAAATCATATAAGAAAGTTTTTAAACTCGTGTTTTGCGTGATATGTAAGAAATAGGAATTTTATCTTAGTCACTGAAGAAATTTTATCAACCTATAAACAAACACATTTTTAATTTTCTGCCATTATAAATATAATTCAGAAAGGAATTTTATTTTTTGACATTAAATGAGTTTAAAAAGAAATTTGATTTTTAATTTTGAATTGAAATAAAAGTGTTAAAACTTGAAAATTTGGGAAATTTTATTGAAACGCAAATATAGTCAATTTTACAATCAACAGAAATTTAATTTTTAATTTTCAGTTTTAATTGAAGTAGATATATATTGATATATTTTTTACTCCGATTTTATTTATTTCATCTCTTTTACTTTAAATAGCTTTTTCTCACTTGTTAAATGTAGAAATTAGTTCAATGCTTTTGTACTGGATCTTAAATACGAATCGCCACGATGTAGATTATTAAAAGAAAGAATAATATTCTTTCTGATTTTCAATTGAAAGTTTTTCGACAGTAATTTATACTATCATATCATTATTTATATTACTAATTATATTAGTAATTTTATACTAGTAATACTAATATACTAGTATATACTATAATTAATAGTATACTAATAGTAATATAGTATTAGCAAACAGCAAATATCATTATTAATTATAATAGTTTTAAATAATTATAATAATAATTAATTAATTATAGTAAATATTATACCATTATACTATTATCTTTCATTATTATAATTAAATCATTTTTATATTCCAATTCGAAAATTAAAGATTCGGAGAACCTTGAACAATTGTTAAATAAAACAAACAATTTTTTATCAAAATGAAAACATTCAACAAACAAATGGCAAATTTATCAAGTAAAAGCACCGAATTAATTACCACACGTAATATTTATTTAACCCTCGAACGGCCATACAGAATTTTGCTACATTTCGTAGCCATACAAAATCTATAATTCAATTAATTGTGGAATTCACTTAGTTTAAATTTTGGAATTTTCAATTTGATTTAATATTTATCGAATAATATTAAAGACATAAAATAATTTAAATTTTTGTAACGTGATAAAAATTGTCGTAATCATCAGTGAACCTTGCCATTACCACTTAAGGATTAAATGGACGTTTACTATTTATAAATGTAGTAGAAAAAATGAGAACGATTGTACAACATGTACCACAGTGAATCATCCGCACATATTTGAACGAAGCGAGCAGAGCAGACGCGATACAGGGACTGGAGGCGATGCGAATGCTTCGTAATTTTTAAAAGCTATCACCGAGACCATTCTATGGATCTCTACTCTTTCCTTCAGCATCGTTCCCCTACTTTTTCAAGGAACTGGCGCATTTGCTTTTCCCGCGTAAAATTATCATCGTCACCTTATTTTCTGTTTAAGGATAACTGACTGCTTCATAGTTTTCTGCATTTTATATTTAAACAATTTTTTTTTAGGTAAGAAGAAGATTCGATGAAGTTCATATTAATATCAATTCATTAATATTATTATAATTAAAGTACATGTTATTTATCTATTATTTAATTTTAAATACATAAATAATAAATAATAGTATGTTAATATTTGTAAAAATAATATAATTAATATGAATATATTATTTAATTATGAATATAAATTTTTCGTATACTTTAGTATACGAATGATAAATTAATTGAGATTAAAATTAATAATTTGATATATCAGTGTATTAATTTATCATGACCAATCTGTGGCAATGCATCACGAATTAAGATTAAAATAATTAAAATGAATCAAATATTAATATTCAATAATAAAAATCATTGTAGTAGTACAGTAATAACAGTATAATAGTATAACAATATAACAATAGTACATAGCAATATAGAAATCAAATAAAAATGTACTTATATATTAATATAATTATATATTTTCAAAATACCAAAAAAAAAAAATGAAAATAAATAATTTTCTATAATGTTTTATATTAAAACTGAATACTAATTCTGACTTTCTTTCAATTAAATAAAAAAGATATGTTAACATTTTAATTTAATTAATATATACATGTACTAATAATAAATTCATTATACATTATACATTCATAATTCATTATACATTTTCAATTAATATATACATGTATACATGTACATTTCAATTAATATACATGTAATAATAAAAATTATATAAAAAAGATATAAGAAATATAAGGATAAACATAAAATATAAATACATAGAAAATATAAAATATAAAAACAAATAAAACTGATAGTTTTTTATTTGTTTCACCTTTTAATAGATCGTATTAAAATTCTTATTACAGCGACATTAGGTGACTCATTGTTAATGTCATAAGCATAAACTTGAGGATATATTCGTCGTCTTACGTCTTAATTTTTATTGCCAACTATATATATTATGTATCATTTTCAAATTATCATTCATATTATTCATTCTAAGTACAACGTGTCTGTCAAAGTTTAGTTCTAAGAAATAACATTACACAATCACATCTATATTTTCTTGATTCTATAGGAAAACAAATTTTATGCTACTTGTAATTTTAATATGAAAGATTTTGAACGAGAATAGTTATTTTATATATTTATAGAAAATTTTAAATTATAAATTTGAAAGAATATAACATAAAATATCCTTTTTGTAACATTTGATACATGAAACAATTTTTTAGTAGAATTCTATTTTTTAAATTGTTTCCCTAGAAATATTACAAAATATTTAGCAAGATTAGGCAAATTACTTTTGAAATAAAGATATTATTTTTTAACAGATGTTAATATTATAATTATAATAAAAAAGCATAATAAATTAATATTATATAAGAAATTTAAATAACGAATCACTTTCAATGATTTATTATTTTTATTTCAGAAATAACATTAGGAAAAATAATCTTATCTTTATCTTATTTCTTCCAGAATGCAAAAACATTCATAAAACTAACAAATAATTTTAGCACAACGTGAAATTTTTAGAATAAAATCGGAAATAAACAAATACGAAATAAAATAAAAAATGATTTTACTCTATCAAATAATAAAACAATTTGGAAGAAACTTGCTCGTCAAAATAAATTAACGCGAAATTATTTCAAGATAATATTTATTGGTTAAAATGATTAATTCATAATTTTTTATAGAGAAAATTTTTGAGATTCACGACGACGCAATTTCAAAAATTTGAATAATTTCTCGTCAAAGATTAAAGCTTTGTTCTTGCTTGGATTACAAAGGATTCTCGTTACTTCTTGTATATTATTTTCTTTGATCCAAATTTTAGACTTTATATATTTTATACACTGTCCTAGTGTTAAATATTTATTATTAATTTATTATTTATTAAATATTATATTATTACACAGATATTACTGTTAATCATTCTTGAAATATTTTATTAAAGTAATACTCATGCTTGATCATAAGAACTAAGATGATGCACAACTACGTATGTTAGAATAGCATCATTCCGTGCATTCAGGTGTTAGATTATACGTTTGCATTAATAGCATTGCAATTAGATTGGTCAGGGTCAAATGAAATATTTCTGTGCAGGAAGTTCGGATCGCTGTTGAATAAAGATCAATCATGACATGTATAAACGATCATAATAGACAGAAATAGATGTCAGAGACGAAATGAGATCATTGTCAAGTGTAGGAAAAAAAATATGCAATTGAAAGTAAATGTAAAATACAAAATGTAACTAATAAAATTAAAATGAAAACATGAAGTGTGAAACGTAAAATATAAGAATAAAATACAAAATGTAAGTAATAAAATTAAAATAAAACAAAACATGAAACATAAGATGTGAAATACAAAGTTATAACAAACGTAGAATATAAAATGCAAAATACGAGTAATAAAATTGAAAGAAAATGAGATTTTATAATATATATTGTTCTTGAAGATCTAACCATAACAGAATTCCAAGAATATCAGTCTTATCAGATTTAAAGCTGGCTGCAATTAAATTTTATCTCACGATTACAGTAGAGATATGAATGACTGTTTTCTACTTATTTCAGATTTTTCATTATTTCAACGAGTTCGTTGCATTGATATCAATGAATTTATTGCACGAAATTTTACAAAATGTCTTTTGAAATTATGTTTAAATTATATCAAAATTGTGCAGAGAATTTTTTACAATTTTCAGGGAATCGATAAGATTTAAGGAAACAATCTTATGAAATTTCGGATAATGAAAATGGAAAAAGTTGATCAGCAGGAGAGGCCAATTTATCGTTCTACGGCGATCAATTGGTCGAGTTTCACGATCATATTTTCTCCTTCGTTTGCATCGCTTTCACTTTTACGAGCTGAGACTCTTGGAGTACACGTTCAATCGACGCGACTGCGAGCGTCTATGTGAAGCGTCGTCTTTGTCAGTGAAACTTTTATACGCCTATCACGTTAATGTTTCGTGTGTTCTAATTTTCTCTTTCTTTTTCCTTCTTCCATTTAATTACTTGCCACTGTCACTTCTCTTTTTAGCGATAAAATTAATTTTTATTTGGGTTAAATATTTATCAGACTTGAGAGTTGCTCGAGTGAAATGTTTGAAAACTGATTGTCTAAATGATGCATCGTTTTATGTATATATATATATAAAATCTTAAAATCTTGCGTTAGTTTAATGAAACAAATTATATACTTATCTATCTATGATGTCATATTTGCATATTCATAAGTGGCAATAAATATAAATTATATATAATAAATATAAATGTAATGTATTACATAATAATTATGTACATAAAATATAAATGTAATGTATTATATAATAACTATTATACATAATATTATGACAATAAATATAAATTATATATAATAAATATAAATATAATGTGTTATATAATAACTATAATACATAATAATTATGTATATAAAATATAAATGTAATGTATTATATAATAACTATTATACATAATATTGATATTATTATACTACAATAATTGCATAATATCGTAAATAGAAAGAATAGTTTTTTGTGTTCTTAGTTGAAACGAAGGAGAAAATCATGATACTATATTAATACATATTTATTGACAACATTTCAGACAAATAACATTTACACACGTACTTTTAGCATTTTAGAAATGAGTTTTTTACGTAAGTAATCATGCATATAACATCATCAAATGTTGTTCTCCTTCAGATATAAAATTGCACAAGTATTCACAGACCCAATCATCTCGTTTCGATAAATTAACTCAAATAAAATATATATAAAATATTATTCACATAAACATTATTATTATTAAATATTATTCACATAAACATTATTATTATTAAATATTATTCACATAAACATTATTATTATAAAATATTATGCACATAAACATTATTATTATAAAATATTATTCACATAAACATTATTATTATAAAATATTATTCACATAAACATTATTATTATAAAATATTATTCACATAAACATTATTATTATAAAATATTATTCACATAAACATTATTATTATAAAATATTATTCACATAAACATTATTATTATAAAATATTATTCACATAAACATTATTATTATAAAATATTATTCACATAAATATTATTATTATAAAATATTATTCGCAAATGATATATTATATCATGACATTATATCACTTTCGAGATAAAAATAAGAAATCAATGGAAACGATTCATCGTTCCAAGTTGTTAGTCCTTGTCTTTATTTCGAATAAAATTTGCCCAATCCCGTTCCCGCCGTAACAATCGAACAATCTTGTCAAGCATTTCACGAGACGCGTGTAAGAATGAGCGTTCTTTTTATCCTCTGTGTGCTATATCTATTTATAAAGAAGACAAAGGACAACATTGAGGAAACTTCTCATTACTGGTAAGGAACAAACAATTGCCAGGAAATAGATAGAATCGTGAAACATAATCTCGCAATCGGCCGTTTTGTGTGAAAATACATATTGTGCATATTGTCTAACATTCTAATATTCGTCTGCATGATAGGCCTCAACTAGTTGGCTTAACAAACATCTCTAACGAAAATAAATTTATGATTATTAACTAACGAATGAATGATAAATTGTTAAAAGTTAATGATCTAACGAACAATGAGCAGATAAAAATAAATTTCTGATTATGAAATAATATATTGACGAATTAAAATAAATTAATTAAATTTGTACAATAGAGATAAATCTAACATTCAATAAATTCTTCGAATTTTAAATTT